ATTTGTATGTTCAATATGCAGCAGAATAAAAAGAAATGTAGCGTTGTGTTACAAAAGGTTATTAACTGAAATTGAGATATCTAAAAAAAAAGGCATGGCCCCTGGAATTAGAATAATCTGCCCCCGGGGGAGTAAATAAAGGGTGTGGTTTGAAATTCCAACGTCTAATCAACTGAAGAAGCTGGAGCGTACAACGGCCGAAACGTTATGAATATGGCAATATGATCTCTTCGACCTATTTTAGTAAAATTAAGCCTCGGATTATAGCATCATAAATATACAAAGCAATATTCTGAATGATGCAAATAGTGCACACACAAACACACACACATGCATATATATATATATATATATATATATATATATATATATATATATATGTAACAAATATATGAATATAGATCCGACAGTATGAAGAAAATATACCTGAAAAAACAAACAAAAAATCCTAATATACAATTATAAATGTTTTAATGTTAATATAATGTCAACGTCGGACGTTTCGGTCTAATAAACCATCTTCAGGACATATTCATAAAACATAATTAACATTAGACCATATTCAATTACCTGCTTGGATTGGTCTTGGTCTTATGTCCATCGTCTTTTTCATGTTTAATTAAATATGTTCGAATGTTAATTATGTTTTATGAATATGTCCTGAAGATGGTCTATTAGACCGAAACGTCCGACGTTGACATTATATTAACATTAAAACAGCATAATTGCATATAAGGATTTTTGTTTTTTCCGTATATTTTATGAATCACATATATATATATATATATATATATATATATATATATATATATATATATATATATATATATATTGATGGCTTCATGAAATAATATAGATTAGTTTTATCTATTTATTTTAAGTAAATTCCTTTCATATTGTCTGATAAACTTAATAACATTATCATTGAAAGATGAAAGAAAATCACCATATTGTTACATGTTTTTAATACTATCTAATCTTTCGGCTTACATAAGCCATTATAAAAGATGACAATTACATTTCAATATATTAAACAATACACGGACAAAACAATAATGTTTCTGTTGCATGAAAGATTTACAAGGAACGACCAACACGTGTATACGAGATGCGGAAGCGAAAATCGCATCACAGCTCGTGACGTCACTCATGATATATAGGGTGCTATGGGTAAATTGTCGCCATTCGATATTTTTAATTTCGCGCATGGGCGTTGTTTGTTTTAGGGTCAGTTCGATAACGTCTGCGAGGAAAGGACATCATGACTCAATTCCCTCCACCAGAAATTTGGAAACGCCATGCTTTACTTATTGGCATTCGAACCGGAAACTCCAATACGAAATTTTCAGTGTGTCTGGATGTAGAGGATTCGGAAATTTGGTTGAATCTTTAACCATCGCAACTTGTAGGTACCTTAATACATCCTGGTTTGCAATAGCTGAACATATGATATATTCGATCAGGAATACATATTCTCATTTCTGAGTCTCTCACATTCAGACTTTGACTCGGAACACTGTAAAAATCAATATCTAGAATGTCCGTCTTCAAAGAAGAAAAGCTGAAAAACTCCAATTTGGTTCAATGATTTGCAGATATTAAAAGGGTTGTCTTTTTTCGGTATGCTCAGTATCTTTGACCTTCTTTAGTCAAAATAAACCTCGGATTATAACATCACAAAGGTACAAAACAAAATATATATTTAACCCCACAGCTTGACCGAATTAATAAAGTCAATATGCATATATGTAGCTACTTTGCTTACAGGCAAGAATTTCGAATTTAAAACACGTGCATATGTTGCCGAGAGATAATTTTATTTTTAACCTTTCGAAATGTTTTTGCTAAACGACAGAAAATCGGCTTTTAAAACGATTCATTTGCTTCAGATTTTCAATCTTAAAAAAAAATAATTGTCGGAGGAATACACTCTTAGCAGTTGGTGATTCGAATCTATTCAAATATGTTCTACTCTCGAGAAAACGTTTGAATTCAATCGAGAATTAGAAAAAAAAAGGAGAGAATTAATGAAAAATATCTTGAACTGAATATTAATGTTTGAAAAATAAAGATCCTTTGCATCAAAACAAAACGAAAACGCGGAGGCATAATTGAATGGGAGAAATTATAATGCTGCACAAAGACGAGGCTGGGAGAGATTTACTTAAGAAATGTGGGGAAATAACACTCAGAAAAACATCCAAAGATGGATTAAGATATTTAAATTGCAGATTTAATCATGAAAGAAAATAAATTAAGAGAATTGAAGCAATCCATTTGGAAATAACCCAGAATGATCGTCGATAACTAAAGGAATAAACTAAAATAAATAAATAAATAAACGCTTGCAATAGTTAAATCAAACTGAGTAATAAATTTGAAAATGTTTCAACTGTAATTCAGATAATGTTGCTTCATGAGATAACGATTGGGGAATCTTCAGTTAACCTTCAAATATATTCGAAGTAAAATAAAAATGTCTTTATTTTCGAATTGGCACCAGGCAGTTATATTGGTTGTACCGAAGTAATACGTGTTCAGTATTTCGAGTAGGGGACACGGTGGCGTAATGGATAGCGGATCGGAGTGACGAATCGTAGAGCCGAGTTCGAATTCCGGGCGAAACCATTACATTCGTTTGCGTGCTAATATCCTTGGGAAAGGTATGAATCCTCTTCTTCTAAATAGCAGACTTCTCCATATCCTTCGATGGCAACTGGTCTACCGCAAAAAAAAAAAAAAAAAAAAAAAAATGACAACCTACTGCGGGAAAACATCTGCCTCGTCAGCCATGTATCGAAAGCGTGTATCACGCATGGCAATCGACGAAATAACTAGAAATCCGATTATCTCGTATAGACATATTTACAACTGAAAAAAAGCACATGATATATCAACAAGTGAAATAATATATTGCATACTTACAACTGAAGAGATAGATGAATCATCTGTGACGTTAAACATGGCATTTAATGTAAGCAGTTAAGTGATAAATTAAAAAAAGTATGAAATACATATAGTGATTTTTTAAGCGTCACTTAAATGTGGCACAAGGCTGAAAATATGGGTCATCGAGTGACAATCGAAATGGTCTAACGAGACAAGCTGGTAACCATTATGCCACGTCGAATACATGATATATGAAATGTCTAAGGTTGGAAAAAAGACATATTTACGACCGAAAATATATGACATAATAACAACTGAAAAGGTATACTGTTAATGAAAAAATATATGACATATCTACGACTGAAAATATATCACATATGACTGAAAAAAATATATGACAGATCTGCGACTAAAATATTTGGCATATCTACGGGGTGGAGGGAGACATATACGACATATCTGCGACTGAAAAGTTATATAACAGACCTATGAGTGAAAAGACATATAACATATTTACAAGAGAAAATATATGATATATCTACGACTGAAAAAGTATATGGCATATATAAGTGTGAAAATATGTATGACAAATCTACAGGTGAAAATGTATAAAATATCGATAAAGATATATGACATCTATGAGTGGTAAAATATATGGCATATCTCCGAGTGAAAAGATATATAACATATATATGAATGAAAAAATATATGACATATGTAAGACTGAAAAGATATGACATATCTACGAGTAAAAAGATATATGACATATATCTGTAAATGAAGAGATATATGATATATCCATACCGTAATAAATGTGGTATCGATGTCTGAACATTTTTTTCGGATTAGAAAAATGATATACCTACAACGGATAAATATGAGATAGCAACGACAGAAAAAAATGTATTTGTAATATCTACGAATGAAAAAATATATGACACTCAAATGAAAAACATATACGAAATGTCTACGACTAAAATATGTCATATCTACGACTAGAGACATGACATCTGTGACGTAAAAATATGACATCGCAGAAATAAATGTGACATATTTAAGATTGATAAAATTACATATCTGTGTCTGAAAAATATATGACATCGCAATGACTGAAAAAAAATGCCATATCGAATGCTGAAACGTATATGACATAGCTACGATTGAATACATAGATGATATATCTATAGATGTAAAATATATATGGAATAACTAGAAGTGAAAAGGTATTACATATATACAACTGAAAATAGACGACTGATCTGCTCCTAAAAATTTTTTATAATGAACAAAGAAACTTTCAATTTATTTCTGTCCGTCTTTATATATCTATAACTTATATCAGCTAAAGACAAATAGATGAATGTAACAAGTGACTCTGGTTCCGACTGGAACGTGGGATCTTAATGTAAACAGGTAAGCGATACATTTCTTCATCCTGCTTTCATCTGCTTAATGAGCTACAAAATTAATATTTTAGTGCCGTTTTTATAGCAGCATTTTTATTTTAGCAGCTGTTGTCGTCGTCGGCATCCTTCTGTCTCGAGATACGATGGAGTTGCGCGGTGCGCTACGAGCCTGGACAGGATATATGGAGAACTAGGGCTGCCCGGACGTCTAGTTCCCCGCTCTCCCGGCCTTAGCTAGGGCTGCCCGGAGTGTCCAAAGGAGGAGGGATAAACCAATACATCCGTCTGTCTCGAGACGATGGAGTTGCGCGGTGCGCTACGGGCCTGGACAGGATATATAGAAACTAGGGCTGCCCGGACGTCTAGTTCCCCCTCTCGGCCTTGCTAGCAGTGTCCAAAGGAGAGGATAAACCAATACATCCGTCTGTCTCGAGAGACGATGGAGTTGCGCAGGATGGAGAACTACACGGCCTGGACAGGATATATGGAGAACAAGGGCTGCCCGAACGTCTAGTTCCCCTCTCGGCCTTGCTAGCAGTGTCCAAAGGAGGATAAACCAATACATCCGTCTGCCTCGGGTGAAGATGGAGTTGCGCGGTGCGCTACGGGCCTGGACGGGATATATGGAGAACTAGGGCTGCCCGGACGTCTAGTTCCCCTCTCATCCGTCTGCTAGTAGTGTCAAAGGAGGGATAAACCAATACATCAATCTGTCTCGAGTGACGATGGAGTTGCGCGGTGCGCTACGGGCCTGGACGGGATATATGGAGAACAAGGGCTGCCCGGACGTCTATTTCCCCTCTCGGCCTTTGCTAGCAGTGTCCAAAGGAGAGGATAAACCAATACATCCGTCTGTCTCGGGTGAAGATGGAGTTGCGCGGTGCGCGACGGGCCTGGACGGGATATATGGAGAACAAGGGCTGCCCGGACGTCTGGTTCCCCTCTCGGCCTTGCTAGCAGTGTCCAAAGGAGAGGATAAACCAATACATCCGTCTGTCTCCAGAGACGATGGCGTTGCGCGGTGCGCGACGAGCCTGGACGGGATATATGGAGAACTATGGCAGCCCGGACGTCTAGTTCCCCCTCTCGGCCTTGCTAGCAGTGTCCAAAGGAGAGGATAAACCAATACATCCGTCTGTCTCGGGTGAAGATGGAGTTGCGCGGTGCGCTACGGGACTGGACGGGATATATGGAGAACTAGGGCTGCCCGGACGTCTAGTTCCCCCTCTCGGCCTTGCTAGCAGTGTCCAAAGGAGAGGATAAACCAATACATCCGTCTGTCTCGAGAGACGATGGAGTTGCGCGGTGCGCTACGGGCCTGGACGGGATATATGGAGAACAAGGGCCCTCTCGGCCTTTGCTAGCAGTGTCCAAAGGAGGATAAACCAATACATCCGTCTGTCTCGGTGAAGATGGAGTTGCGCCCGCTCTCTAGGGCTGCCCGGACGTCTGTTCCCCTCTCGGCCTTGCTAGCAGTGTCCAAAGGAGAGGATAAACCAATACATCCGTCTGTCTCGAGTGAAGATGGAGTTGCGCGGTGCGGCTACAGGCCTGGACGGGCTATATTCCCCTCTCGGGAGAACAAACCAACATCCGTCTGTCTCGGACGATGGAGTTCCCCCGCTCGGCCTATGGAGAACTAGGCCAGCCTCGACGTGTCCTCTCGGCCTTGCTAGCAGGATAAACCAGAGATAAAATCCGTCTGTCTCGGGTGAAGATGGGTTGCGCGGTGCGCTACGGGCCTGGACGGGATAGAACATGGGAGTTCCCCCTCTCGGCCTTGCTAGCAGTGTCCAAGGAGGATAAACCAATACATCCGTCTGTCTCGAGAGACGATGGAGTTGCCGGTGCGCTACGGACGGGATATATGGAGAACTAGGGCTGCCCGGACGTTCCCCTCCTCTCGGCCTTGCTAGCAGTGTCCAAAGGAGAGGATAAACCAATACATCCGTCTGTCTCGAAGAAGATGCGCGGTGCGCTTGCGCGGTGCGGGCTACGTCTAGGCCTGGACAGAGATATATGGAGGAGAACTGGAGGGCTGCCCGGACGTCTAGTTCCCCCTCTCGGCCTTGCTAGCAGTGTCCAAAGGAGAGGATAAACCAATACATCCGTCTGTCTCGAGAGACGATGGAGTTGCGCGGTGCGCTACGAGCCTGGACGGGATATATGGAGAACTAGGGCTGCCCGGACGTCTAGTTCCCCCTCTCGGCCTTGCTAGCAGTGTCCAAAGGAGAGGATAAACCAATACATCCGTCTGTCTCGGGTGAAGATGGAGTTGCGCGGTGCGCTACGGGCCTGGACGGGATATATGGAGAACTAGGGCTGCCGGACGTCTAGTTCCCCTCTCGGCCTTGCTAGCAGTGTCCAAAGGAGAGGATAAACCAATACATCCGTCTGTCTCGAGAGACGATGGTGTTGCGCGGTGCGCTACGAGCCTGGACGGGATATATGGAGAACTAGGGCTGCCCGGACGTCTAGTTCCCCCCTCTCTCGGCCTTGCTAGCAGTGTCCAAAGGAGAGGATAAACCAATACATCCGTCTGTCTCCCGGTGAAGATGGAGGATTGCGCGGTGCGCTACGGGCCCCTGGACGGGATATATGGAGAACTAGGGCTGCGGACGTTTCTCGCCTTAGCAGTGTCCAAAGGAGAGGATAAACCAATACATCCGTCTGTCTCAGGAGACGATGGAGTTGCGCGGTGCGCTACGGGCCTGGACGGATAGTTCCCCCTCTCCGGCCTGGAGTGTCCAACAATACATCCGGGCTGCCCGGACGTCTATTTCCCCGGACGTCTCCCCTCTCGGCCTTGCTAGCAGTGTCCAAAGGAGAGGATAAACCAATACATCCGTCTGTCTCGAGACGATGGGTTGCGACGGCCTGGACGGGATATGGAGAACTAGGGCTGCCCGGACGTCTAGTTCCCCATCTCGGCCTTTGCTAGCCTGGACGGAATAAACCAATACATCCGTCTGTCTGTCTCGAGAGACGATGGAGTTGGGCGGTGCGCTGCCCATATGGAGAACTAGGGCTGCCCGGACGTCCCCCTAGCCTTGCTAGCAGTGTTCCCCTCGTCGGTTCCCCTCTCTCGGCCTTGCTAGCAGTGTCCAAAGGAGAGGATAAACCAATACATCCGTCTGTCTCGGGTGAAGATGGAGTTGCGCGGTGCGCTACGGGCCTGGACGGGATATATGGAGAACTAGGGCTGCCCGGACGTCTAGTTCCCCCTCTCAGTGTCCTTACATCCGTCTAGCATGTGTCCAAATATATTGAGAACTAGGATAAACTAATACATCCGTCTGTCTCGGGTGAAGATGGAGTTGCGCGGTGCGCTACGGCCTGGACGGGATATATGGAGAACTAGGGCTGCCCCCTCTCAGGACGTCTAGTTCCCCCCTCTCAACCTTATATGGAGAACTAGCAGTGTCCAAAGGAGAGGATAAACCAATACATCCGTCTGTCTCGAGAGACGATGGAGTTGCGCGGTGCGCTACGAGCCTGGACGGGATATATGGAGAACAAGGGCTGCCCGGACGTCTAGTTCCCCTCTCGGCCTTGCTAGCAGTGTCCAAAGGAGAGATAAACCAATACATCCGTCTGTCTCGGTGACGATGGAGTTGATGGAGAACTTGCCTGACGTGCGCTACGGGCCTACATCCGTCATCTCGGACGGGATATATGGACGAACTAGGGCTGCCCGGACGTCTAGTTCCCCTCTCGGCCTTGCTAGCAGTGTCCAAAGGGAGAGGATAAACCAATACATCCGTCTGTCTCGAGGTCTCAGGTGAAGATGGAGTTACGCGGTGCGCTACAAGATGGAGTTGCGCTAGGTGCGCTAAACCAATACATCCGTCTGTCCTGGACGGGATATATGGAGAACTAGGGCTGCCCGGACGTCTAGTTCCCCCTCTCGGCCTTGCTAGCAGTGTCCAAAGGAGGGATAAACCAATACATCCGTCTGTCTCCGGAGAGACGATGGATAACGCAGTGCGCTACGGCCTGGACCCAGGATATATGGAGAACTAGGGCTGCCCGGACGTCTAGTTCCCCCCTCTCGGCCTTGCTAGCAGTGTCAAAGGAGAGGATAAACCCATACATCCGTCTGTCTCGAGACGATGGAGTTGCGCGGTGCGCTACGGGCCTGGACGGGATATATGGAGAACTAGGGCTGCCCGGACGTCTAGTTCCCCCTCTCGGCCTTGCTAGCAGTGTCCAAGGAGAGGATAAACCAATACATCCGTCTGTCTCGAGTGAAGATGGAGTTGCGCGGTGCGCTACCACGGGCCTGGACGGATATATGGAGAACTAGGGCTGCCCGGACGTCTAGTTCCCCTCTCGGCCTTGCTAGGTGTGTCCAAAGGAGAGGATAAACCAATACATCCGTCTGTCTCAGACGATGGAGTTGCGCGGTGCGCTATGGGCCTGGACGGATATATGGAGAACTAGGGCTGCCCGGACGTCTAGTTCCCCTCTCGGCCTTGCTAGCAGTGTCCAAAAGAGAGGATAAAACCAATACATCCGTCTGTCTCAGGAGAAGATGGGTTGCGCGGTGCGCTACGGGCCTGGACGGGATATATGGAGAACTAAACGCTGCCCGGACGTCTTTAGTTACCCCTCTCGGCCTTGCTAGCAGTGTCCAAAGGAGAGGATAAACCAATACATCCGTCTGTCTCGAGAGACGATGGAGTTGCGCGGTGCGCTACGAGCCTGGACGGGATATATGGAGAACTAGGGCTGCCCGGACGTCTAGTTCCCCCTCTCGGCCTTGCTAGCAGTGTCCAAAGGAGAGGATAAACCAATACATCCGTCTGTCTCGGGTGAAGATGGAGTTGCGCGGTGCGCTACGGGCCTGGACGGGATATATGGAGAACTAGGGCTGCCCGGACGTCTAGTTCCCCCTCTCGGCCTTGCTAGCAGTGTCCAAAGGAGAGGATAAACCAATACATCCGTCTGTCTCGAGAGACGATGGAGTTGCGCGGTGCGCTACGAGCCTGGACGGGATATATGGAGAACTAGGCTGCCCGGACGTCTAGTTCCCCTCTCGGCCTTGCTAGCAGTGTCCAAAGGAGAAGATAAACCAATACCACATCCGTCTGTCTCGAGAGACGATGGGTTGCGCAGTGCGCTACAGGCCTGGACAGGGATATATGGAGAACTAGGGCTGCCCGGACGTCTGGAGTTCCCCTCTCAGCCTTGCTAGCAGTGTCCAAAGGAGAGGATAAACCAATACATCCGTCTGTCTCGAGAGACGATGGAGTTGCGCGGTGCCTACGAGCCTGGACGGGATATGGAGAACTAGGGCTGCCCGGACGTCTGGTTCCCCCCCTCTCAGCCTTGCTAGCAGTGTCCAAAGGAGAGATAAACCAATACATCCGTCTGTCTCGAGTGAAGATGGAGTTGCGCGGTGCGCTACGGGCCTGGACAGGGATATATCCGGAGAACTAGGGCTGCCCGGACGTCTGGTTCCCCCTCTCAGCCTTGCTAGCAGTGTCAAAGGAGAGGATAAACCAATACATCCGTCTGTCTCGAGGTGAAGATGGAGTTGCGCGGTGCGCTACGGGCCTGGACGGGATATATGGAGAACTAGGGCTGCCCGGACGTCTAGTTCCCCTCTCGGCCTTGCTAGCAGTGTCCAAGAGAGGATAAACCAATACATCCGTCTGTCTCGAGAGACGATGGAGTTGCGCAGTGCGCTTGCGAGCCTGGACAGGATATATGGAGAACTAAAAGGGCTGCCCGGACGTCTAGTTCCCCTCTCCTCGGCCTTGCTAGCAGTGTCCAAAGGAGAGGATAAACCAATACATCCGTCTGTCTCGAGTGAAGATGGAGTTGCGCGGTGCGCTACGGGCCTGGACAGGATATGGAGAACTAGGCTGCCCGGACGTTTAGTTCCCCCTCTCGGCCTAGCAGTTGCTAGCATAGTGTCCCAAGGAGGACAGGATAAACCAATACATCCGTCTGTCTCAGGTGAAGATGGAGTGTGCGCGGTGCTACGCAGTGCCTGGACGGAATATATGGAGAACTAGGGGCTGCCCGGACGTCTAGTTCCCCCCTCTCGGCACTTGCTAGCAGTGTCAAAAGGAGGATAAACCAATACATCCGTCTGTCTCGGTGAGATGATGGAGTTGCGCGGTGCGCTACGAGCCTGGACGGGATATATGGAGAACTAGGGCTGCCCGGACGTCTAGTTCCCCTCTCGGCCTTGCTAGCAGTGTCCAAAGGAGAGGATAAACCAATACATCCGTCTGTCTCGGAGACGATGGAGTTGCGCGGGTGTGCTACGGATATGGAGAACTAAGCCTGGACGGGATATATGGAGAACTGGGCTGCCCGGACGTCAGTTCCCCTCTTGTTCCCCTCTCGGCCCCTTGCTAGCAATGTCCAAAGGAGAGGATAAACCAATACATCCGTCTGTCTCAGGTGAAGATGGGTTGCGGTGCGCTACAGGCCTGGACGGGATATATGGAGAACTAGGGCTGCCCGGACGTCTAGTTCCCCTCTCGGCCTTTGCTAGCAGTGTCCAAAGGAGGATAAACCAATACATCCGTCTGTCTCGAGAAGATGGAGTTGCGCAGTGCGCTACGGCCCTGGACAGGATATATGGAGACTAGGGCTGCCCGGACGTCTAGTTCCCCCTCTCGGCCTTGCTAGCAGTGTCCAAGGAGGATAAACCAATACATCCGTCTGTCTCGAGAGATGGGTTGCGCGGTGCGCTACGAGCCTGGACGGGATATGGAGAACTAGGGCTGCCCGGACGTCTAGTTCCCCTCTCGGCCTTGCTAGCAGTGTCCAAAGGAGAGGATAAACCAATACATCCGTCTGTCTCCCAGAGATGATGGAGTTGCGCAGTGCGCTACGGGCCTGGACGGGATATATGGAGAACTAGGGCTGCCCGGACGTTCCCCTCTCCGGCTTTGCTAGCAGTGTCAAAGGAGGATAAACCAATACATCCGTCTGTCTCGAGGTGAAGATGGAGTTGCGCGGTGCGCTACGGGCCTGGACGGGATATATGGAGAACTAGGGCTGCCGGACGTCTTGTTCCCCCTCTCGGCCTTGCTAGGAGTGTCAAAGGAGAGATAAACCAATACATCCGTCTGTCTCGAGACGATGGAGTTGCGCGGTGCGCTACGACGGAATATATGGAGAACCTGTTCCCCCTCTCGCCATTGCTAGCAGTGTTCAAAGGAGAGGATAAAACCAATACATCCGTCTGAGAACTAGGGCTGCGCTACGGGCCTGGACGGGGATATATGGACGTCTAGTTCCCCGTCTCTCGGCCTTGCTTGCTAGCAGTGTCAAAGGAGAGATAAACCAATACATCCGTCTGTCTCGAGAGACGATGGAGTTGCGCGGTGCGCTACGAGCCTGGACGGGATATATGGAGAACTAGGGCTGCCCGGACGTCTAGTTCCCCTCTCGGCCTTGCTAGCAGTGTCCAAAGGAGAGATAAACCAATACATCCGTCTGTCTCGAGAGACGATGGAGTTGCGGGTGCGCTACGGGCCTGGACGGGATATATGGAGAACTAGGGCTGCCCGGACGTCTAGTTCCCCTCTCGGCCTTGCTAGCAGTGTCCAAAGGAGAGGATAAACCAATACATCCGTCTGTCTCGAGAGACGATGGAGTTGGTGTGCTACGGCCTGGACGGATATATGGAGAATTAGGGGCTGCCCGGACGTCTAGTTCCCCTCTCGGCCTTGCTAGGTGTGTCCAAAGGAGAGGATAAACCAATACATCCGTCTGTCTCGGTGAAGATGGAGTTGCGCGGTGCGCTACGGGCCTGGACGGGATATATGGAGAACTAGATGCCCGGACGTCAGTTCCCCTCAGGTCTCGGCCTTGCTAGCAGTTCCCCCTCTCCTGTCCAAAGGGAGAGGATAAACCAATACATCCGTCTGTCTCGAGTGAAGATGGAGTTGCGCGTGCGCGCCAGGCCCTGACGGGATATATGGAGAACTAGGGCTGCCCGGACGTCTAGTTCCCCCTCTCGGCCTTGCTAGCAATGTCAAAGGAGAGGATAAACAATACATCCGTCTGTCTCGAGAGAAGATGGAGTTGCACAGTGCGCTACGGCCTGGACGGGATATATGGAGAACTAGGGCTGCCTGGACGTCTAGTTCCCCTCTCGGCCTTGCTAGCAGTGTCCAAAGGAGAGGATAAACCAATACATCCGTCTGTCTCGAGTGAAGATGGAGTTGCGCAGTGCGCTACGAGCCTGGACGGGATATATGGAGAACTAGGGCTGCCCGGACGTCTGTTCCCCTCTCAGCCTTGCTAGCAGTGTCCAAAGGAGAGGATAAACCAATACATCCGTCTGTCTCGAGAGACGATGGAGTTGCGCGGTGCGCTACGAGCCTGGACGGGATATATGGAGAATCAGGGCTGCCCGGACGTCTAGTTCCCCTCTCGGCCTTGCTAGCAGTGTCCAAAGGAGAGGATAAACCAATACATCCGTCTGTCTCGAGACGATGGAGTTGCGCGGTGCGCTGGAGCCTGGACGGGATATATGGAGAACTAGGGCTGCCCGGACGTCTGGTTCCCCTCTCGGCCTTGCTAGCAGTGTCCAAAGGAGAGGATAAACCAATACATCCGTCTGTCTCGAGAAGATGGGTTGCGCGTGCGCTACGAGCCTGGACGGGATATATATGGAGAACTAGGGCTGCCCGGACGTTTAGTTCCCCTCTCGGCCTTGCTAGCAGTGTCCAAAGGAGAGGATAAACCAATACATCCGTCTGTCTCGAGAGAAGATGGAGTTGCGCGGTGCGCTACGGGCCTGGACAGGATATATGGAGAACTAGGGCTGCCCGGACGTTCTAGTTCCCCTCTCGGCTTGCTAGCAGTGTCCAAAGGAGAGGATAAAAACAATACATCCGTCTGTCTCGGTGAAGATGGAGTTGCGCGGTGCGCTACGGGCCTGGACGGGATATATGGAGAACTAGGGGCTGCCCGGACGTCCCCTAGTTCTCCCCTCGGCCTTGCTAGCAATGTCCAAAGGAGAGGATAAACCAGCAGTGTCCATCCGTCTGTCTCGAGACGATGGAGTTGCGCGGTGCGCTACGAGCCTGGACGGGGATATATGGAGAACTAGGGCTGCCCGGACGTCAGTTCCCCTCTCGGCCTTGCTAGCAGTGTCCAAAGGAGAAGATAAACCAATACATCCGTCTGTCTCGAGAGACGATGGAGTTGCGCAGTGCCACGAGCCTGGACGGGATATATGAGAACTAGGGCTGCCCGGACGTCTAGTTCCCCTCTCGGCTTTGCTAGCAGTGTCCAAAGGAGAGGATAACCAATACATCCGTCTGTCTCGAGAGACGATGGATTGCGCGGTGCGCTACGGGCCCTGGACAGGATATATGGAGAACTAGGGCTGCCCGGACGTCTAGTTCCCCCCTCGGCCTTGCTAGCAGTGTCCAAAGGAGGATAAACCAATACATCCGTCTGTCTCGAGAGAAGATGGAGTTGCGCGGTGCGCTACGAGCCCTGGACAGGATATGGAGAACTAGGGCTGCCCGGACGTTGGTTCCCCCTCTCGGCCTTGCTAGCAGTGTCCAAAGGAGAGGATAAAACAATACATCCGTCTGTCTCGGGTGAAGATGGGTTGCGCGTGCGCTACGGCCCTGGACGGGATATATTAAGGAACTAGGGCTGCCCGGACGTCTGGTTCCCCTCTCGGCCTTGCTAGCAGTGTCCAAAGGAGAGGATAAACCAATACATCCGTCTGTCTCGAGTGACGATGGAGTTGCGCGGTGCGCTACGGCCTGGACAGGATATATATGGAGAACTAGGAGCTGCCCGGACGTCTAGTTCCCCTCTCGGCCTTGCTAACAATGTCCAAAAGAGAGGATAAACCAATACATCCGTCTGTCTCTCGGGTGAAGATGGAGTTGCGCGGTGCGCTACGGCCTGGACGGGATATATGGAGAACTAGGGCTGCCCGGACGTTCCCCCAAAGGAGAGGGATCTCGGCCTTGCTAGCAGTGTCCAAAGGAGAGGATAAACCAATACATCCGTCTGTCTCGAGAGACGATGGATAAGCGGTGCGCTACGAGCCTGGACGGGATATATGGAGAACTAGGGCTGCCCGGACGTCTAGTTCCCCCTCGGCCTTGCTAGCAGTGTCCAAAGGAGAGGATAAACCAATACATCCGTCTGTTTCGAGAGACGATGGAGTTGCGCTAGTGCCCGGACGTCTGGCCTGGACGGGATATATGGAGAACCAGGGCTGCCCGGGACGTCTGATTCCCCTCTCCGGCCCTTTTACTAGTCTAGTGTCCAAAGGAGCAGTGTCAAAGGATAAACCAATACATCCGTCTGTCTCGAGAGACGATGGGTTGCGCGGTGCGCTAGCCTGGATGGGATATATGGAGAACTAGGGCTGCCCGGACGTCTAGTTCCCCTCGGCCTTTGTTTACTATGTCCAAGGAGAGGATAAATGAATACATCCGTCTGTCTCGGGTGAAGATGGAGTTGCGCGGTGCGCTACGAGCCTGGACGGGATATATGGAGAACTAGGGCTGCCCGGACGTTCAGTTCCCCCTCTCGGCCTTGCTAGCAATGTCCAAAGGAGAGGATAAACCAATACATCCGTCTGTCTCGAGAGAAGATGGAGTTGCGCGGTGCGCTACGGGCCTGGACGGGATATATGGAGAACTAGGGCTGCCTGGACGTTTAGTTCCCCTCTCGGCCTTGCTAGCAGTGTCCAAAGGGAGAGGATAAACCAATACATCCGTCTGTCTCGAGTGAAGATGGAGTTGCGCGGTGCGCCACGGCCTTGGACGGATATATGGAGAACAGGGGCTGTCCAAGGACGTCCAGTTCTGTCCCTCTGCGCTACAGGCCTGGACAGGATATGGAGAATCAGGGCTGCCGGACGTCTGCCCCGGCCTTGCTAGAGTGTCCAAAAGAGAGGATAAACCAATACATCCGTCTGTCTCGGTGAAGATGGAGTTGCGGTGCGCTACGAGGCCTGGACGGGATATATGGAGAACTAGGGCTGCCCGGACGTCTAGTTCCCCTCTCGGCATTGCTAGCAGTGTCCAAAAGAGAGATAAACCAATACATCCGTCTGTCTCGGAGACGATGGGTTGCCCGGTGCGCTACGAGCCTGGACAGGATATATGGAGAACTAGGGCTGCCCGGACGTCTAGTTCCCCTCTCGGCCTTGCTAGCAGTGTCCAAAGGAGAGGATAAACCAATACATCCGTCTGTCTCGAGAGACGATGGAGTTGCGCGGTGCGCTACGGGCCTGGACGGGACATATGGAGAATTAGGGCTGCCCGGACGTCTAGTTCCCCTCTCGGCCTTGCTAGCAGTGTCCAAAGGAGGGATAAACCAATACATCCGTCTGTCTCGAGAGACGATGGAGTTGCGCGGTGCGCTACGAGCCTGGACGGGATATATGGAGAACTAGGGGCTGCCCGGACGTCTAGTTCCCCCTCTCGGCCTTGCTAGCAGTGTCCAAAGGAGAGGATAAACCAATACATCCGTCTGTCTCGGGTGACGATGGGCCTGAGGGATTGGGCTGCCTGACGTCTAGTTCCCCTCTCGGCCTTGCTAGCAGTGTCCAAAGGAGAGGATAAACCAATACATCCGTCTGTCTCGGTGAATGGAGGGCTGCGGCCTGGACGTCTAGGAGAACTAGGGCCCCGGACGTCTAGTTACCCTCTCGGCCTTGCTAGCAGTGTCCAAAGGAGCGGATAAACCAATACATCCGTCTGTCTCGAGAGACGATGGAGTTGCGGTGCGCCCCTGTTCCCCCCTCTCGGCCTGACGGATATATGGAGAGAGACGATGGAGGGCTGCCCGAGACGGGACGTATGGAGTTCCCCCTCTCAGCCCCTCTCGGCCTTGCTAGCAGTGTCCAAAGGAGAGGATAAACCAATACATCCGTCTGTCTCGAGACGATGGAGTTGCGGTGCGCTACGAGCCTGGACAGGATATATGGAGAACTAGGGCTGCCCGGACGTCTGGTTCCCCTCTCGGCCTTGCTAGCAGTGTCCAAAGGAGAGGATAAACCAATACATCCGTCTGTCTCGAGAATGATGGAGTTGCGCGGTGCGCTACGAGCCTGGACGGGATATATGGAGAACTAGGGCTGCCCGGACGTCTAGTTCCCCCTCTCGGCCTTGCTAGCAGTGTCCAAAGGAGGATAAACCAATACATCCGTCTGTCTCGAGAGACGATGGAGTTACGCGCCACGGCCTGGACGGAATATGGAGAACTAGGGCTGCCGGACGTCTAGTTCCCCCTCTCTCGGCATTGCTAGCAGTGTCCAAAGGAGAGGATAAACCAATACATCCGTCTGTCTCGGGAGAAGATGGAGTTGCGGTGCGCTACGGCCTGGACGGGTTATATGAGAACTAGGGCTGCCCGGACGTCTAGTTCCCCCTCGGCATTGCTAAGCAGTGTCCAAAGGAGAGGATAAACCAATACATCCGTCTGTCTCGGTGACGATGGAGTTGCGCGGTGCGCTACGGCCTGACGGGATATATGGAGAGGGCCCGGACGTCTAGTTCCCCCTGCCTTGCTAGCAGTGTCCAAAGGAGAGGATTCCCGTCTGTCTCCGCTACGGGCCTGGACAGGATATATGGAGAATTAGAGCTGCCCGGACGTCTAGTTGTCCAAAGAGAGGATAAACCAATACATCCGTCTGTCTCGAGAGATGATGGAGTTGCGCGGTGCGCTACGAGCCTGGACGGGATATATGGAGAACTAGGGAACTAGGGCTGCCCGGACGTCATCCGTCTGTCTCGAGACGATCCCCGCTCGGCCTGACGGGATATGGAGAACCAGCTGCCCGGAGCAGTGTTCCGGCCTTGCTAAAAAGGAGAGGATAAACCAATACATCCGTCTGTCTCGGGAGACGATGGAGTTGCGCAGTGCGCTACGGCCTGGACGGGATATATGGAGAACTAGGTGCCCGGACGTCTAGTTCCCCTCTCGGCCTTGCTAGCAGTGTCCAAAGGAGAGGATAAACCAATACATCCGTCTGTCTCAGGTGAGAGATGGAGTTGCCGGTGCTACGGGCCTGACGGGATATATGGAGAACTAGGGCTGCCTGGACGTCTAGTTCCCCTCTCGGCCTTGCTAGCAATGTCCAAAGGAGAGGATAAACCAATACATCCGTCTGTCTCGAGAGAAGATGGAGTTGCGCCGTGCGCTACGAGCCTGGACGGGATATATGGAGAACTAGGGCTGCCCGGACGTCTAGTTCCCCCTCTCAGCCTTGCTAGCAGTGTCCAAGGAGAGGATAAACCAATACATCCGTCTGTCTCGAGAGAGACGATGGAGTTGCGCGGTGCGCTACGAGCCTGGACGGGATATGGAGGAACTAGGGCTGCCCGGACGTCTAGTTCCCCTCTCGGCCTTGCTAGCAGTGTCCAAAGGAGAGGATAAACCAATACATCCGTCTGTCTCGAAGACGGGGTTGCGGTGCGCTACGGCCCTGGACGGGATATATGGAGAACTAGGGCTGCCCGGACGTCTAGTTCCCCTCTCGGCCTTGCTAGCAGTGTCCAAAGGAGAGGATAAACCAATACATCCGTCTGTCTCGAGAGACGATGGAGTTGCGCGGTGCGCTACGAGCCTGGACGGATATTGAGAATAAAGAGAGGGCTGCCCGGACGTTTAGTTCCCCCGCTCTCGGCCTATTCTCGGCCTTGCTAGCAGTGTCCAAAAGAGAGGATAAACCAATACATCCGTCTGTCTCGAGAGACGATGGAGTTGCGCGGTGCGCTACGGGCCTGGACAGGATATATGGAGAACTAGGGCTGCCCGGACGTCTAGTTCCCCTCTCGGCCTTTGCTAGAGTGTCCAAAGGAGAGGATAAACCAATACATCCGTCTGTCTCGAGAGATTTGGAGTTGCGCGGTGCGCTACGGGCCTGGACGGGATATATGGAGAACTAGGGGCTGCCGGACGTCTAGTTCCCCTCTCGGCCTTGCTAGCAGTGTCCAAAAGAGGATAAACCAATATCCGTCTGTCTCGAGAGACGATGGAGTTGCGCGGTGCCTACGGGCCTGGACGGGATATGGAGAACTAGGGCTGCCCGGACGTCTAGTTCCCCCTCTCGGCCTTGCTAGCAGTGTCCAAAGGAGAGGATAAACCAATACATCCGTCTGTCTCCAGAGACGATGGAGTTGCGCGGTGCGCTACGGCCTGGACGGGATATATGGAGAACTAGGGCTGCCTAGACGTCTAGTTCCCCTCGGCCTTGCTAGCAGTGTCCAAAGGAGAGGATAAACCAATACATCCGTCTGTCTCAGGTGAAGATGGAGTTGCGCGGTGCGCTACGAGCCTGGACGGATAGAACTAGGGGGCTGCCCGGACGTCTAGTTCCCCCTCTCGGCCTTTGCTAGCAGTGTCCAAAGGAGAGGATAAACCAATACATCCGTCTGTCTCGAGACGATGGAGTTGCGCGGTGCGCTACAGGCCTGGACGGGATATATGGAGAACTAGGGCTGCCCGACGTCTAGTTCCCCAAATCTCGGCCTTGCTAAGGTGTCAAAGGAGAGGATAAACCAATACATCCGTCTGTCTCGAGAAGATGGAGTTGCGCGGTGCTACGGCCTAGACGGGATATATTGGAGAACTAGGGCTGCCCGGACGTCTATTAGAATTCTCGGCCTTTGCTAGACAGTGTCAAAGGAGGAGGATAAACCAATACATCCGTCTGTCTCGAGAGACGATGGAGTTGCGCGGTGCGCTACGAGCCTGGACGGGATATATGGAGAACTAGGGCTGCCCGGACGTCTAGTTCCCCCTCTCGGCCTTGCTAACTTGTGTGTGTCCAAAGGAGAGGATAAACCAATACATCCGTCTGTCTCGAGAGACGATGGAGTTGCGCGGTGCGCTACGAGCCTGGACGGGATATATGGAGAACTAGGGCTGCCCGGACGTCTGGTTCCCCTCTCGGCCTTTGGTAGCAGTGTCCAAAGGAGAGGATAAAACCAATACATCCGTCTGTCTCGGGAGACGATGGAGTTGCGCGGTGCGCTACGAGCCTATGGAGACTAGGACGGGGATATATGGAGAACTAGTCTGTCTGCCGGACGTCTGGAGTTCCCCCTCTCGGCCTTGCCCCTCTCGCCTTGCGTCCAAAGGAGAGGATAAACCAAATACATCCGTCTGTCTCGGTGAAGATGGAGTTGCGCGGTGCGCTACGGGCCTGACGGGATATATGGAGAACTAGGGGCTGCCCGGACGTCTAGTTCCCCCTCTCGGCCTTGCTAGCAGTGTCCAAAGGAGAGGATAAACCAATACATCCGTCTGTCTCGAGAGAAGATGGAGTTGCGCGGTGCGCTACGGCCTGGACGGGATATATGGAGAACTAGGGCTGCCCGGACGTCTAGTTCCCCTCTCGGCCTTGCTAGCAGTGTCCAAAGGAGGGATAAACCAATACATCCGTCTGTCTCGAGAGACGATGGAGTTGCGCAGTGTGCGCTACGAGCCTGGACAGGATATATATGGAGAACTAGGGCTGCCCGGACGTCTAGTTCCCCTCTCAGCCTTGCTAGTGTGTCAAAGGAGGAGGATAAACCCAATACATCCGTCTGTCTCGAGAGACGATGGAGTTGCGCGGTGCGCTACGAGCCTGGACAGGATATATGGAGAACTAGGGCTGCCCGGACGTCTGGTTCCCCCTCTCGGCCTTGCTAGCAGTGTCCAAAGGGAGAGGATAAACCAATACATCCGTCTGTCTCGGGTGAAGATGGAGTTGCGCGGTGCGCTACAGGCCTGGACGGGATATATGGAGAACTGGGCTGCCCGGACGTCTGGTTCCCCCCTCTCGGCCTTGCTAGCAGTGTCAAAAAGAGAGGATAAACCAATACATCCGTCTGTCTCGAGTGACGATGGAGTTGCGCGGTGCGCTGGGCCTGGACGGGATATATGGAGAACTAGGGCTGCCCGGACGTCTAGTTCCCCCTCTCGGCCTTTGCTAGCAGTGTCCAAAGGAGAGGATAAACCAATACATCCGTCTGTCTCTCCGGTGAAGATGGAGTTGCGCCGGTGCGCTACGGGCCTGGACGGGATATATGGAACTAGGGGACGTGCCCCCTCTCAACGACGTTCAAGTTCCCCCTCTCGGCCTTGGGTTAGCAGTGTCCAAAAGAGAGATAAACCAATACATCCGTCTGTCTCGAGAGACGATGGAGTTGCTGGGTGCGCTGACGGCCTGGACGGGATATCTATGGAGAACTAGGGCAATGCCCGGACGTCTCGAGAGATAGTTCCCCCTCTCGGCCTTACTAGCAGTGTCCAAAGGAGAAGATAAACCAATACATCCGTCTGTCTCGAGAGACGATGGGTTGCGCAGTGCGCTACGAAACTGGACGGGATATATGGAGAACTAGGGCTGCCCGGACGTCCTAGTTCCCCCTCTCGGCCTTGCTAGCAGTGTCCAAAGGAGAGGATAAACCAATACATCCGTCTGTCTCGAGAGACGATGGAGTTGACGATGGACGGGATATATGGAGATATATATATACGTCTAGTTCCCCCTCTCGGCTTATAGCAGTGTCCAAAGGAGGATAAACCAATACATCCGTCTGTCTCGAGAGAAGATGGAGTTGCGTGGTGCGCTAGGGATATATGGAGAACTAGGGCTGCCCGGACGTCTGGTTCCCCCATCTCGGCCTTGCTAGCAGTGTCCAAAGGAGAGGATAAACCAATACATCCGTCTGTCTCGAGAGAGATGGAGTTGCGCAGTGCGCTACGGGCCTGGACGGGATATATGGAGAACTAGGGCTGCCCGGACGTCTGGTTCCCCTCTCTCGGCCTTGCTAGCAGTGTCCAAAGGAGAGGATAAACCAATACATCCGTCTGTCTCGAGACGATGGAGTTGCGCGGTGCGCTACGGCCTGGACAGGATATATGGAGAACTAGGGCTGCCCGGACGTCTAGTTCCCCCTCTCGGCCTTGCTAGCAGTGTCCAAAGGAGAGGATAAACCAATACATCCGTCTGTCTCGGAGACGATGGAGTTGCGCGGTGCGCTACGGCCTGGACAGGATATATGGAGAACTAGGGCTGCCCGGACGTCTGTTCCCCTCTCAGCCTTGCTAGCAGTGTCCAAAAAGAGGATAAACCAATACATCCGTCTGTCTCGAGAGACGATGGAGTTGCGCGGTGCGCTACGAGCCTGGACGGGATATATGGAGAACTAAATGCTGCCTGGACGTCTGGTTCCCCTCTCCTGGACAGGATATATGGAGACTAGCAGTGTCAAGGAGGAGGATAAACCAATACATCCGTCTGTCTCGAGAGACGATGGAGTTGCGCGGTGCGCTTCGGGCCTGGACAGGATATATGGAGAACTAGGGCTGCCCGGACGTCTAGTTCCCCCCCTCTCGGCCTTGCTAGCAATGTCCAAGGAGAGGATAAATCCGTCTGTCTCAGAGACATCCGTCTGTCTCGACGGGATATATGGAGATGGGCTGCCCGACGTCTAGTTACCCCTCTCGGCCTTGCTAGCAATGTCCAAAGGAGAGATAAACCAATACATCCGTCTGTCTCGGTGAAGATGGAGTTGCTGGACCTGGGATATATGGAGAACTAGGGCTGCCCGACGTCTAGTTCCCCCCTCTCGGCCTTGCTAGCAATGTCCAAAGGAGAGGATAAACCAATACATCCGTCTGTCTCGTGAAGATGGGTTGCGCGGTGCGCTACGGGCCTGGACGGGATATATGGAGAACTAGGGCTGCGGACGTCTAGTTACCCCTCGGCCTTGCTAGCAGTGTCAAAGGAGAGGATAAACCAATACATCCGTCTGTCTCGAGAGACGATGGAGTTGCGCAGTGCGCTACGAGAGCCTGGACAGGATATATGGAGAACTAGGGCTGCCCGGACGTCTAGTTCCCCTCTCGGCCTTTGAAGGTGTGTCCAAAGGAGAGATAAACCAATACATCCGTCTGTCTCGAGAGAAGATGGGTTGCGCGGTGCGCTACGAGCCTGGACGGGATATATGGAGAACTAGGGCTGCCCGGACGTCTGGTTCCCCTCTCGGCCTTGCTAGCAGTGTCCAAGGAGAGGATAAACCAATACATCCGTCTGTCTCGAGAGACGATGGAGTTGCGCGGTGCGCTACGGGCCTGGACGGGATATATGGAGAACTAGGGCTGCCCGGACGTCTAGTTCCCCCTCTCCCGGCCTTGCTAGGTGTGTCCAAAGGAGGATAAACCAATACATCCGTCTGTCCCTGGAGTTGCGCGGTCGGCCCTGGACAGGATATATGGAGAACCCGAGCTGCCCGGACGTCTAGTTCCCCCTCTCGGCATTGCTAAAGTGTCCAAAGAGGATAAACCAATACATCCGTCTGTCTCGAGACGATGGGTTGCGGGCCGGTGCGCTGCCCGGACGTCTAGGCCTGGACATTGGGATATACATCCGGAGAGACGAGGAGTTGCTGCCGACGGTTATAGTTCCCCCGGCATTGCTAGCAGTGTCCAAAGGAGGGATAAACCAATACATCCGTCTGTCTCGAGAGACGATGGAGTTGCGCAGTGCGCTACGGCCTGGACGGGATATATGGAGAACTAGGGCTGCCGGACGTCTAGTTCCCCCCTCTCAGCATTGCTAGCAGTGTCCAAAGGAGAGGATAAACCAATACATCCGTCTGTCTCGAGAGACGATGGAGTTGCGCAGTGCGCTACGGGCCTGGACGGGATATATGGAGAACTAGGGCTGCCCGGACGTCTGGTTCCCCCCTCGGCCTTAGCTAGTGTCAAAGGAGGGATAAACCAATACATCCGTCTGTCTCAGGAGATGATGGGTTGCGCAGTGCGCTACGGGCCTGGACGGGATATATGGAGAACTAGGGCTGCCCGACGTCTCAGGTTTCCCGTCTAGTTCCCCAATCATCCGTCTGTCTCGAGAGACGATGGAGTGTCCCTTTGAGGATATAACCAAATTACATCCGTCCCCTCTCCTCGGCCTTGCTAGACGATGGGATAAACCAATACATCCGTGTCTCCGCTGGAGTTGGCCTAGCCTGGACAGGATATATGGAGAACTAGGGCTGCCCGGACGTCTGGTTCCCCCTCTCGGCCTTGCTAGCAGTGTCCAAAGGAGGATAAACCAATACATCCGTCTGTCTCGGGTGAAGATGGGTTGCGCGGTGCGCTACAGGCCTGGACAGGGATATATGGAGAACTAGGGCTGCCCGGACGTCTGGTTCCCCCCTCTCGGCCTTGCTAGCAGTGTCCAAAGGAGAGGATAAACCAATACATCCGTCTGTCTCGAGACGATGGAGTTGCGCGGTGCGCTACGAGCCTGGACAGGATATATGGAGAACTAGGGCTGCCCGGACGTCTGGTTCCCCCTCTCGGCCTTTGCTAGCAGTGTCCCAAAGGAGAGGATAAACCAATACATCCGTCTGTCTCGAGAGAAGATGGAGTTGCGCGGTGCGCTACGGGCCTGGACGGGATATATGGAGAACTAGGGCTGCCCGGACGTCTAGTTCCCCCCTCTCGGCCTTGCTAGCAGTGTCAAAGGAGAGGATAAAACCAATACATCCGTCTGTCTCGAGAGACGATGGAGTTGCGCGGTGCGCTACGGGCCTGGACAGGATATATATGGAGAACTAGGGCTGCCCGGACGTCTAGTTCCCCTCTCGGCCTTGCTAGCAGTGTCCAAAGGAGAGGATAAACCAATACATCCGTCTGTCTCGAGACGATGGGTGCGATGGCTACAGAGCCTGGACGGGATTGCGCAGTGCGCTACCCCTCCTGGACCAAAGGGATATATCCGTCTGGAGAACTTGCGGCGCTGCCTGGACGACGTCTAGTTCCCCTCTCGGCCTTTGCTAGCAATGTCCAAAGGAGGGATAAACCAATACATCCGTCTGTCTCGGGTGAAGATGGAGTTGCGCGGTGCGCTACGGGCCTGGACGGGATATATGGAGAACTAGGGCTGCCCGGACGTCTAGTTCCCCCTCTCGGCCTTGCTAGCAGTGTCCAAAGGAGAGGATAAACTAATACATCCGTCTGTCTCGAGACGATGGTGTTGCGCAGTGCGCTACGGGCCTGGACAGGATATATGGAGAACTAGGGCTGCCCGGACGTCTAGTTCCCCTCTCGGCCTTGCTAGCAGTGTCAAGGAGAGGATAAGCCAATACATCCGTCTGTCTCCGGGTGAAGATGGAGTTGCGCGGTGCGCTACAGGCCTGGACGGGATATATGGAGAACTAGGGCTGCCCGGACGTCTAGTTCCCCCTCTCGGCCTTGCTAGCAATGTCCAAAGGAGAGGATAAACCAATACATCCGTCTGTCTCGAGAGACGATGGAGTTGCTGCAGTGCGCTACGAGCCTGGACGGGATATATGGAGAACTAGGGCTGCCCGGACGTCTAGTTCCCCTCTCGGCCTTGCTAGCAGTGTCCAAAGGAGAGGATAAACCAATACATCCGTCTGTCTCGAGTGACAATGGAGTTGCGCGGTGCGCTACAGCCTGACAGGATATATGGAGAACTAGGGCTGCCCGGACGTCTAGTTCCCCTCTCGGCCTTACTTGAGTGTCAAAGGAGAGGATAAACCAATACATCCGTCTGTCTCGGCCCGGATGTGACGATGGAGTTGCGCGGTGCGCTACGGGCCTGGACGGGATATATGGAGAACTAGGGCTGCCCGGACGTCTGGTTCCCCTCTCGGCCTTTACTAGCAGTGTCCAAAGGAGGGATAAACCAATACATCCGTCTATCTGAGACGATGGAGTTGCGCAGACAGGCCTGGACGATGGAGTTGCTGCCCGGACATGCCCCTCGGCTACGAGCCTGGACAGGATTTGCGCGGTATGAGCCTGGACTAGGGAGAACTGCTGCCCGGACGTCTAGTTCCCCTCTCGGCCTTGCTAGCAGTGTCCAAAGGAGAGGATAAACCAATACATCCGTCTGTCTCGAGACGATGGAGTTGCGCGGTGCGCTACGGCCTGGACAGGATATATGGAGAACTAGGGCTGCCCGGACGTCTAGTTCCCCCTCTCGGCCTTACTAGCAGTGTCCAAAGAGGATAAACCAATACATCCGTCTGTCTCAGGTGAGAGATGGAAACCCTGGACGGGATATATGGAGAATCAGGGCCCCGTCTGTTCCCCTCTCGGCCTTGCTAGACAGTGTCAAAGGAGGATAAAATACATCCGTCTGTCTCGAGACGATGGGTGCGCAGTGCGCTACAGGCCTGGACGGGATATATGGAGAATCAGGGCTGCCCGGACGTCTAGTTCCCCTCTCGGCCTTGCTAGCAGTGTCCAAGGAGAGGATAAACCAATACATCCGTCTGTCTCGAGACGATGGATGTACAGGCCTGTTGGAGAACTAGGGCTGCCCGGACGTCTGGTTCCCCCTCGGCCTTGGATGTCCATAGAGGATAAACCAACTATCCGTCTGTCTCGGTGAAGATGGGTTGCGCGGTGCGCTACAGGCCTGGACGTCTAGGGCTGCCTGGACGTCTCCCCCTCTCGGCTTTGCTAGCAGTGTCCCAAGGAGAGGATAAACCAATACATCCGTCTGTCTCGAGAGACGATGGAGTTGCGCGGTGCGCTACGTGCCCTGGACGGGATATATGGAGAACTAGGGCTGCCCGGACGTCTAGTTCCCCTCTCGGCCTTGCTAAGTGTCCAAAGGAGGATAAACCAATACGTCCGTCTGTCTCGAGAGACGATGGAGTTGCGCGGTGCGCTACGAGCCTGGACGGGATATATGGAGAACTAGGGCTGCCCGGACGTCTAGTTCCCCTCTCAGCCTTTGCTAGCAGTGTCCAAAGGAGAGGATAAACCCAATACATCCGTCTGTCTCGAGAGACGATGGGTTACGTGGTGCGCTACGGGCCTGGACGGGATATATGGAGAACTAGGGCTGCCCGGACGTCTAGTTTCCCCATCTCAGTGTCCTTCCGTCTGTCTCAGGAGAAGATGGGTGGCGGTGTCAAGGAGAGGATAAACCAGGGCTGCCCGACGTTCAGTCCGTCTGTCTCGATAAAACCAATACATCCGAGACGTGGGTTGGATTGTGCGCTACAGGCCTGGACAGGATATATTGAGAACTAGGGCTGCCCGGACGTCTAGTTCCCCTCTCGGCCTGGTGTGTCCAAAGGAGAGGATAAACCAATACATCCGTCTGTCTCGAGGTGAAGATGGAGTTGCGCGGTGCGCTACAGGCCCCTGGACAGGATATATGGAGAACTAGGGCTGCCGGACGTCTAGTTTCCCCCCTCTCAGCCTTGCTAGCAGTGTCCAAAGGAGAGATAAACCAACCATCCGTCTGTCTCGAGAGACGATGGAGTTTGCGCGGTGCGCTACGAGCCTGGACGGGATATATGGAGAACTAAGGGCTGCCCGGACGTCTGAGTCCCCTCTCGGCCTTGCTAGCAGTGTCCAAAGGAGAGGATAAACCAATACATCCGTCTGTCTCGAGAGACGATGGAGTTGCCCGCGGTGCGCTACGAGCCTGGACAGGATATATGGAGAACTGGGTCTGCCCGGACGTCTGGTTCCCCTCTCGGCCTTATGAGAACTAGCGCCTGACGCTGTCCAAGGAAGGGATAAACCAATACATCCGTCTGTCTCGAGACGATGGAGTTGCGCGGTGCGCTACGGCCTGGACGGGATATATGGAGAACTAGGGCTGCCCGGACGTCTAGTTCCCCTCTCGGCCTTGCTAGCAGTGTCCAAGGAGAGGATAAACCAATACATCCGTCTCTCGAGAGACGATGGAGTTGCCGCGGTGCGCTACGGGCCTGGACGGGATATGGAACTAGGGCTGCCCGGACGTCTAGTTCCCCTCTCGGCCTTTGGCGCAGTGTTCCAAAGAGGGGATAAACCAATACATCCGTCTGTCTCGAGACGATGGAGTTTGCGCCCAGTGCGCTACTGAGCCTGGACAGGATATATGGAGAACTAGGGCTGCCCGGACGTCTAGTTCCCCTCTCGGCCTTTGCTAGCAGTGTCCAAAGGAGAGGATAAACCAATACATCCGTCTGTCTCGAGGTGACGATGGAGTTGCGCGGTGCGCTACCCAGCCTGGACGGGATATATGGAGAACTAGGGCTGCCCGGACGTTTGGTTCCCCCTCTCGGCCTTGCTAGCAGTGTCCAAAGGGATAAACCAATACATCCGTCTGTCTCGAGAACGATGGAGTTGCGCTGCGCTACGGGCCTGGACAGGATATATGGAGAACTAGGGCTGCCCGGACGTCATTCCCCCTCGGCCTTGCTAGCAGTGTCCAAGGAGAGGATAAACCAATACATCCGTCTGTCTCGAGAGACGATGGAGTTGCGCGGTGCGCTACGAGCCTGGACGGGATATATGGAGAACTAGGGCTGCCCGGACGTCTAGTTCCCCTCTCTCGGCCTTTGCTAGCGGTATCCAAAAGGAGGGATAAACCAATACATCCGTCTGTCTCGAGACGATGGAGTTGCGCGGTGCGCTACGAGCCTGGACAGGATATATATATGGAGAACTAGGGCTGCCCGGACGTCTAGTTCCCCCTCTCGGCCTTGCTAGCAGTGTACAAAGGAGAGGATAAACCAATACATCCGTCTGTCTCGAGACGATGGGTGCGCGGTGCGCTACAGGCCTGGACGGGATATATGGAGAACTAGGGCTGCGGGACGTCTAGTTCCCCCTCTCGACTGCTAGCAGTGTCCAAGGAGAGGATAAACCAATACATCCGTCTGTCTCGAGGTGACGATGGAGTTGCGCGGTGCGCTACGGGCCTGGACAGGATATATGGAAACTAGGGCTGCTCCCGGACGTCTAGTTCCCCCTCTCCTTGCTAGCAGTGTCAAGGAGGATAAACCAATACATCCGTCTGTCTCGGGGGACGTGGAGTTGCGCAGTGCGCTACGAGCCTGGACAGGATATGTGGAGAACTAGGGCTGCCCGGACGTCTAGTTCCCCTCTCGGCCTTGCTAGCAGTGTTCAAAGGAGAGGATAAGCCAATACATCCGTCTGTTTCGGGACGATGGGAGTTGCGCGGTACGCTACGGGCCTGGACGGGATATATGGAGAACTAGGGCTGCCCGGACGTCTAGTTCCCCCTCTCGAAGCCCCTTGCTAGCAGTGTCAAAGGAGAGGGATAAGCCCAATACGTCCGTCTGTCTCGAGTGACGATGGGTTGCGCCCGCCGCTACGGACCTGGACGGGATATATGGAGAACTAGGGCTGCCGGACGTCTGGTTCCCCCTCTCCGCCTTTGCTAGCAGTGTCAAGGAGGATAAACCAATACATCCGTCTGTCTCGAGAGACGATGGGTTATGAGTGCGCTACGAGCCTGGACAGGATATATGGAGAACTAGGGCTGCCCGGACGTCTAAGTTCCCCCCTCTCGGCCTTTGCTAGCAGTGTCAAGGAGGGATAAACCAATACATCCGTCTGTCTCGAGGAGACGATGGAGTTGCGCAGTGCGCTACGAGCCCCTGGACGGGATATGCTGGGAACTAGGGCTGCCCGGACGTCTAGTTCCCCCTCTCGGCCTTACTAGCAGTGTCCAAAGGAGGATAAACCAATACATCCGTCTGTCTCGAGAGAAGATGGGTTGCGCGGTGCGCTACGGGCCCTGGACAGGGATATGGAGAACTAGAGCTGCCCGACGTCCTAGTTCCCCCCTCTCGGCATTGCTAGCAGTGTCCAAAGGAGGATAAACCAATACATCCGTCTGTCTCGGGTGAAGATGGAGTTGCGCGGTGCGCTACAGGCCTTTGACGGGATATATGGAAACTAGGGCTGCCCGGACGTCCGTTCCCCTCTCAGCCTTGCTAGCAGTGTCAAGGAGAGGATAAACCAAATACATCCGTCTGTCTCGAGAGATGATGGAGTTGCGCGATTGCGCTACGGGCCTGGACAAGGATATGGAGAACTAGGGCTGCCGGATCTAGTTACCCTCTCGACCTTGCTAGCAGTGTCCAAGGAGGATAAACCAATACATCCGTCTGTCTCGAGAGACGATGGGTTGCGCGCAGTGCGCTACGAGCCCTGGACGGGATATATGGAGAACTGGGCTGCCCGGACGTTTAGTTCCCCTCTCGGCCTTGCTAGCAGTGTCCAAGGAAGGATAAACCAATACATCCGTCTGTCTCAGGTGAAGATGGAGTTGCGCGGTGCGCTACAGGCCCTGGACGGGATATATGGAGAACTAGGGCTGCCCGGACATCTAGTTCCCCTCTCGGCCTTACTAGCAGTGTCCAAGGAGAGGATAAACCAATACATCCGTCTGTCTCAGGGTGAAGATGGAGTTGCGCGGTGCATACGGGCCTGGACAGGATATATTATTGAACTGGGCTGCCGGACATCTAGTTCCCCCTCTCATGCTTACTAGCAGTGTCAAGGAGGATAAACCAATACATCCGTCTGTCTCGAGACGATGGAGTTGCGCAGTGCCTCTACAGGCCTGGACAGGATATATGGAGACTAGGGCTGCCCGGACGTCTGTTCCCCTCTCAGCCTTGCTAGCAGTGTCAAAGGAGAGGATAAACCAATACATCCGTCTGTCTCGAGACGATGGAGTTGCGCAGTGCCTACAGGCCTGGACGGAATATATGGAGAACTAGGTCTGCCCGGACGTCTAGTTCCCCCTCTCGGCATTGCTAGCAGTGTTCCAAAGGAAGATAAACCAATACATCCGTCTGTCTCGAGGGACGATGGAGTTGCAGTGCGCTACAGGCCTGGACGGGATATATGGAGATTCTAGAGCTGCCGGACGTCTAGTTCCCCCTCTCGGCATTGCTAGGTGTGTCAAAGGAGGGATAAACCAATACATCCATCTGTCTCAGGTGAAGATGGAGTTGCACCCGGTGCTACAGGCCCTGGACAGGATATGGAGATCTAGGCTGCCCCTGACGTCTGGTTCCCCCTCAGCATTGCCTAGCAGTGTCAAAGGAGGGATAAACCAATACATCCGTCTGTCTCGAGACGATGGAGTTGCGCGGTGCTTCTGGGGGCCTGGACAGGATATATATGGAGAACTAGGGCTGCCGGACGTCCTAGTTTCCCCCTCTCGGCACTTATAGCAGTGTTCCGGAAGGATAAACCAGCGCATCCGTCTGTCTCGGAGACGATGGAGTTGCGCGGTGCGCTACAGGCTCTGGACGGGATATATGGAACTAAGGGCTGCCCGGACGTCTAGTTCCTCCTCTCGGCCTTTGCTAGCAATGTCCAAGAGAGGATAAACCAATACATCCGTCTGTCTCCAGGCGACGATGGGTTGCGCGGTGCTTCTGGGCCTGGACAGGATATGGAACTAAAACTTGCCCGGACGTCTAGTTCCCCGTCTAGTTCCTCTCGGCATTGCTAGCAGTGTTCAAAGGAGAGGATAAACCAATACATCCGTCTGTCTCAGGACGATGGAGTTGTGCAGTGCGCTACAGGCCTGGACGGGATATATGGAGAACTAGGGCTGCGGACGTCTGGTTCCCCTCTCAGCCTTGCTAGGAGTGTCAAGGAAGAGGATAAACCAATACATCCGTCTGTCTCGGGTGACAATGGAGTTGCGCGGTGCGCTACGGGCCTGGACGGGATATATGGAGAACTAGGGCTGCCCGGACGTCTAGTTCCCCTTCTCGGCCTTGCCTTAAGTGTCAAAGGAAGGATAAACCAATACATCCGTCTGTCTCGAGAGACGATGGAGTTGCGCAGTGCGCTACGAAGGCCTGGACGGGATATATGGAGAACTAGGGCTGCCCGGACGTCTAGTTCCCCTCTCGGCCTTGCTAGCGGTGTCAAAGAAGGATAAACCAATACATCCGTCTGTCTCGAGAGACGATGGAGTTGCGCAATGCGCTACGGGCCTGGACGGGATATATGGAACTAGGGCTGCCCGGACATTAGTTCCCCCTCTCGGCCTTGCTAGCAGTGTCCAAAGGAGGATAAACCAATACATCCGTCTGTCTCGAGGACGATGGAGTTGCGCAGTGCGCTACAGGCCTGGACGGGATATATGGAGGCTAGGGCTGCCCGGACGTCTAGTTCCCCCTCATTGCAGCTAGCAGTGTCAAAGGGAGGGATGAAACCCATACATCCGTCTGTCTCGAGAGACGATGGAGTTACATGGTGCGCTGAGCTGGACGGGATATATGGGAGACTAGGGCTGCCCGGACGTCTGGTTCCCCATCTCAGCCTTGCTAGCAGTGTCAAGGAGGATAAGCCAATACATCCGTCTGTCTCAGGTGAAGATGGAGTTGCATGATTGCTACGGGCCTGGACCCGGGATATATGGAGGAACTAGGCTGCCCGGACGTCTAGTTCCCCCCTCTCGGCCTTGCTAGCAGTGTCCAAAGGAGGAGGTCTGTCTCAGGTAAGATGGGTGCCAATACATCCGTCTGTCTCGGACGGATTCCCCCTCTCGAAGTGGAAGTTACGTCTCGAGTGCGCTACACGGCCTGGACAGGATATATGGAGAACCCCTGGGGCTGCCCACGTCTAGTTCCCCCTCTCAGCCTTATAGGAGTGTCAAAAAAGAGGATAAACCAATACATCCATCTGTCTCGAGATGGAGTTGCGCGGTGCGCTACAGCCTGGACAGGATATGGAGAACTAGGGCTGCCCGGACGTCTGGTTCCCCCCTCGGCATTTGCTAGCAGTGTCAAAAAAGAGGATAAACCAATACATCCGTCTGTCTCCGAGACGATGGGTTACGCAGTGCGCTACGAGCCCTGGACAGGATATATATTGAGAACTAGGGCTGCCGGACGTCTAGTTCCCCCTCTCAACACTGTAGCAGTGTCAAAGGAGAGGATAAACCAATACATCCGTCTGTCTCGGGGTGAAGATGGAGTTGCGCGGTGCGCTACCCAGGCTGGACAGGATATATGGAGAACTAAGGGCTGCCCAGACGTCTAGTTCCCCTCTCGGCATTGCTAGCAGTGTCCAAAGGAAGGGATAAACAATACATCCGTCGTCTCGAGGAGACGATGGAGTCTCGAGCCCCTGGACAGGATATATGGAGAACTAGGGCTGCCCGGACGTCTAGTTCCCCTCGGCATTGCTAGCAGTGTTCAAGGAAGATGACCAATACATCCGTCTGTCTCGGGTGAAGATGGTGTTGCGCGGTGCGCTACGGGCCTGGACGGGATATGGAGCTAGCCAGACGTCTGGTTCCCCCTCTCAGCCTTGCTAGCAGTGTCAAAGAGAGGATAAACCAATCCGTCTGTCTCGAGATCTCAGGCCTGGACGGGATATATGGATAAAGGGCTGCCGGACATCTGTTCCCCTCCAGCCTTGCTAGCTGTGTCAAAAGGAGGGATAAACCAGCTTCCGCTGTCCTACAGGCCTCGAGCCTGGACGGATATATTGAGAACTAGGCTGCCCGGACGTCTAGTTCCCCCTCTCGGCCTTGCTAACAGTGTCCAAGGAGGATAAACCAATACATCCGTCTGTCTCCAGGTGACGATGGGTGTTGCGCGGTGCCTTACAGGCCTGGACAGGATATATGGAGAACTAGGGCTGCCCGGACGTCTGGATTTCCCCTCTCGGCCTTGCTAGCAGTGTCCAAAGGAGGGATAAACCAATACATCCGTCTGTCTCGAGAGACGATGGAGTTGCACCCTGGACAGGATATATGCGGGCTGCGGACGTCTAGTTCCCCCCTGGACTTAGGATATGTCCAAAGGAGAGGATAAACCAATACATCAGTCTGTCTCGGACATGCGCGGTGCGCTACGGGCCCTGGACAGGATTCCCCCTCTCGGCCTTGCTAGCAGTGTCCAAAGGATATTGCCCATCCGTCTGTCTCGAGACGATGGGTTGCGCGGTGCGCTACGAGCCTGGACAGGATATATGGATTAGGGCCCCGGATTCCCCCTCTGGCCTTGCAGTGTCAAAGGAGAGGATAAACCAATACATCCGTCTGTCTCGAGGACGATGGAGTTTACGCAGTGCGCCTAGACAGGATATGGAGAACCCTGGACAGTTCCCCCCTCTCGATATAGCAGTGTCCAAGAGATAAGTAATAATCCGTCTGCTCGAGAGACGATGGATGCGCGGTGCGCTACGGCCTGGACAGGATATATATGGAGAACTAGGTGCCCGGACGTCTAGTTCCCCTCTCGGCCTTTGCTAAGTAGTGTCCAAAGGGAGAGGATAAACCAATACATCCGTCTGTCGGGTGAAGATGGGTTGCGCGGTGCGCTACGGCCTGGACGGATATATGGAGAACTAGGGCTGCCCGGACGTCTGGTTCCCCTCTCGGCCCTTGCTAGTGTCCAAAGGAAGAGGATAAACCAATACATCCGTCTGTCTCGAGAGACGATGGAGTTGCGCGGTGCTGCAACCCCCGACGGGATATATGGAGAACTAGGGCTGCGGACGTTCTGGTTCCCCCTCTCGTTGCTAGCTGTGTCAAAGGAGAGGATAAACCAATACATCCGTCTGTCTCGAGAGACGATGGGTTGCCTGATGCGCTACGAGCCTGGACAGGATATATGGAGAACTAGGGCTGCCCGGACGTCTAGTTCCCCTCTCGGCATTGCTAGCAGTGTCCAAAAGGAGGATAAACCAATACATCCGTCTGTCTCGAGTGACAGTGGAGTTGCGCGGTGCGCTACGGGCCTGGACAGGATATATGGAACTTAGGGCTGGACGTCTAGGCCTTATAAGTGTGTCAAAGGAACAATAGATCCGTCTGCCTCAGGTGACGATGGGTTGCGCGGTGCGCTTCCTGGACCCTCTGCGGACGTCTATTCCCCCCTCTGTGCTTGCTAGCAGTGTCAAAAGGAGGATAAACCAATACATCCGTCTGTCTCCCCGAAGACGATGGAGTTGCGCGGTGCGCTACGGGCCTGGACAGGATATGGAGAACTAGGGCTGCCCGGACGTCTAGTTCCCCCTCTCGGCATTCTAGCAGTGTCCAAAGAGGAGAGGATAAACCAATACATCCGTCTGTCTCGAGAGACAGTGGGTTGCATGGTGCCGCAACGGTCCTGACAGGATATATGGAGGAACTAGGGCTGCCCGGCGTCTAGTTCCCCTCTCGCGTGCTAGCAGTGTCAAAAGGATAAAACCAATACATCCGTCTGTCTCGGGACTGGGAGTTGCGCGGTGCGCTACGAGCCTGGGCAGGATATGGGAGAACTAGGGCTGCCCGGACGTCTAGTTCCCCCTCTCCTTGCTAGCAGTGTCAAAAGGAGAGGATAAACCAATCATCCGTCTGTCTCGGTGAAGATGGAGTTGCGGGTGCGCTTGGCCCCTGGACGGGATATTTGGGGGAACTAGGGCTGCCCGGGACGTCTGGTTCCCCCCTCGGCCTTACTTCCAGTGTCAGGATAAACCAATACATCCGTCTGTCTCGAGGAACGATGGGTTGCTGGTAACGGGCTGCCTAGGGGCGGACGTCTAGGTTCCCCTCTCGGCTTTGCTAGCAGTGTCAAAAGAGGATAAACCAATACATCCGTCTGTCTCGAGACGATGGAGGCGCCAGTGCGCAAGAACTAGAGCTGCCCGGACATCTTTCCCCTCTCAGCCTTGGACAGGAAGGATAAACCAATACATCCGTCTGTCTCGAGACCCGATGGGTTGCTGCCAGGCCTGGACGGATATTGGAGAACTAGGGAACTGCCCCGTCTAGGTTCCCCCTCTCGGCCTTGCTAGCAGTGTTCAAAGGAGAGGATAAACCAATACATCCGTCTGTCTCGAAGAAGATGGGGTTGCGCGGTGCGCTACAGGCCTGGACGGGATATATGGAGAACTAGGGCCGGACGTCTAGTTTCCCCTCTCGGCATTGCTAAGCAGTGTCAAAGGGAGAGGATAAACCAACCCATCCGTCTGTCTCGAGGCGATGGGTTGCGCAGTGCCCTTCCTGGACAGGATATATAGAACTAGGGCTGCCCGGACGTCTGGTTTCCCTCTCGGCATTTACTAGCAGTGTCCAAAGAGAGGATAAACCAATACATCCGTCTGTCTCCGGGCCGATGGGTTGCGCAGTGCGCTACAGGCCTGGACAGGGATATGGAGTAGGGCTGCCCGGACGTCTGGTTTTCCCTCTCGGCTTCTTTAGCAGTGTCTCAAAGGAGAGGATAAACCAATACATCCGTCTGTCTCGGTGAAGATGGACGCGGTGATATATATGGAGAACTAGGGCTGCCCGGACGTCTGGTTCCCCCTCTCGGCCTTGCTAGCAGTGTCCAAGGAGGGATAAACCAATACATCCGTCTGTCTCGAGAGACGATGGGGTTGCGGTGCGCTACGGGCCTGGACGGGATATGGAGAACTAGGGCTGCCGGACGTCTACACCCTCTCAACCTTGCCCCTGTCAAAAGAAGGGAATACATCCGTCTGTCTAGAGAACTGGGGCTGCCCAGGCCTGGACGGGATATATTCCCCGGACGTCTCCCACCTTGCTAGCAGTGTCAAGGAGAGGATAACCAATGCATCCGTCTGTCTCGAGAAGATAAACAATATATACATGCCGTCTGTTTTCCCTCTCTCGATTGCTAGCAGTGTCAAGGGATAAACCAATACATCCGTCTGCACTAATGGGTTGCGAACCCTGAACAGGATATATGGAGACTAAGACTGGGGACGTCTGCCCCCTCTCGGCGTCTAAGCAATTCCATCCCCTCTTCGAGCCTGGAGGGATTGCTAGGGCAGTGTCCCCTCTCGAAAGTGTTTAAGGATAATAGCCAATACATCCGTCTGTCTCGAGACGAGGGTGGCGATGGCCTGGACAGGATATATGGAGAACTAGGGCTGCCGGACGTCTAGTTCCCCACTCTTGGCCTTGCTACAGGCCTAAATGGACATGGGATATATATATGGAGAACGGTCTGCCCGGACGTCTAGTTCCCCCTCTCAGCCTTGCTAGCAGTGTCAAAGGAGAGGATAAACCAATACATCCGTCTGTCTCGGTGAAGATGGAGTAGCGCGGTGCGCTACGGCCTGGATGGAGAACTAGGGCTGCGCCTAGTTCCCCACTCTTGGCCTTGCCAGCGAAAAAGAGAGGATAAAAACCAATACATCCGTCTGTCTCGAGAGACGATGGATTGCGCATGCGCTATGGAGGGATATATGGGAACTAGGAATGCCCGGACGTCCCAGTTCCCCTCTCGGCCTTGCTAGCAGTGTTCAAAGAGAAGATAAACCAATACATCCGTCTGTCTCGAGAGACGATGGAGTGGCGCGGTGCGCTACGGGCCTGGACGATATATATGAGAACTAGGCTGCCCGGACGTCTAGTTCCCCCTCTCGGCTTTGCTGCAGTGTCAAAGGAGAGGATAAACCAATACATCCGTCTGTCTCGAGGAGACGATGGAGTTGCGCGGTGCCTACAGGCCTGGACAGGATATATGGAGAACTAGGGCTGCGGACGTCTAGTTCCCCTCTCGGCCTTGCTAGTAGTGTCCAAAGGAGGATAAACCAATACATCCGTCTGTCTCGAGGTGACGATGGGTTGCGCGGTGCGCTACAGGCCTGGACGGGATATATGGAGAACTAGGGCTGCCCGGACGTCTAGTTCCCCCTCTCGGCATTGCTAGCAGTGTCCAAATAAAACCAATACATCCGTCTGTCAGGGTGAAGATGGAGTTGCGCGGTGCTACGGGCCTGGACGGGAATTGAGGGGCTGCCTGACGTTCAGTTCCCCTGTCTGTCCCGGAGAGCGAAACCCATGTCTGTCTCGAGAGACGATGGAGTTGCGGTGCGCTACGAGCCTGGACAGGATATAAGGAGAACTAGGGCTGCCCGGACGTCTAGTTCCCCTCTCGGCCTTTGCTAGAGTGTCAAAGGAGAGGATAAGCAATACATCCGTCTGTCTCGGGTGACGATGGTGTTGCGCAGTGCCGCTACAGGCCCCTGACAGGATATATGGACAGGCCCGGATAGTTCCCCACTCTTGGAGCTAGCAGTGTCCAAAAGAGAGGATAAACCAATACATCCGTCTGTCTCCGAGAGACGATGGGTTGCGTCTACGAGCCTGGAGGATATTCCTGCCTCGTCTGGTTCCCCTCGGCCTTGCTAGCAGTGTCAAAAGGAGAGGATAAGCCATTACATCCGTCTGTTCGGAGACGATGGAGTTGCATGTGCGCTACAGGCCCTGGACAGGATATATGGAGAACTAGGGCTGCCCAGACGTCCCCTTCGGCCTTGCCAGTGTCCAAAGGAGAGGATAACCAATCATCCGTCTGTCTCGAGAGACGTGGAGTTGCGCGGTCAAAGCCTGGAGGGATAAACCAAGCCTGGACGTCTAGTTCCCCTCTCAGCCTCGGGTCCGTAAAAGGAGAGATAAACCAACACATCCGTCTGTCTCGAGTGACGATGTGCGCAGTGCGCTACAGGCCTGGACGGATATATGGAGAACTAGGGCTGCCCGGACGTCTAGTTCCCCCTCTCGGCCTTGCCTAGCAATGTCAAAGGAGAGGATAAACCAATACATCCGTCTGTCTCGGGTGAAGATGGAGTTGCGCGGTGCCCGCTACGGAGGGCCTGACGGATATATGGAGAACTGGGGCTGCCCGGACGTCTAGTTACCCCTCTCGGCCTTAAGCTAGCAGTGTCCAAGGAGAGGATAAACCAATACATCCGTCTGTCTCGAGAGATGATGGAGTTGCGCAGTGCGCTACGAGCCTGGGACGGGATATATGGAGAACTAGGGCTGCCCGGACGTTCTTCCCCTCTCGGCCTTGCTAGCAGTGTCCAAAGGAGAGGATAACCATTACATCCGTCTGTCGGAGACGGATGGAGTTGCGCAGTGCGCTACGAGCCCAGACAGGATATATGGAGAACTAGGGCTGCCCGGACGTCTGGTTTCCCCCTCTCAGCCTTGCCAGCAGTGTCAAAGGAGAGATAAACCAACATCCGTCTGTCTCGAGAGACGATGGAGTTGCGCGGTGCGCCACGAGCCTGACCTTGGGATATGGAGAACCAGGGCTGCCCGGACGTCTAGTTCCCCCTCTCGGCCCTTGCTAGGTGTATATCAAGAGAGGATAAACCAATACATCCGTCTGTCTCAGGTGAAGATGGAGTTGCGCGGTGCGCTACGGCCCTGGACGGGATATATGGAGAACTAGAGGCTGCCCGGACGTTCAGTTCCCCTCTCGGCCTTGCTAGCAGTGTCAAAGGAGTTGCGTCTGGGTGCGCTGGGTTACGCGGCCTTGACCTGGACGGGTTATGGAGAACTAGAGCTGCCCGACTGGTTCCCCCTCTCGGCACAAGCTAAGGTGTCCAAAGGAGAGAATAAAACCAATACATCCGTCATCTCAGGAGAAGATGGAGTTGCGCAATGCGCTTCTGGGCCTGGACGGGATATATGGAGAACTAGGGCTGCCCGGACGTTCAGTTCTCCCTCGGCCTTGGTAGCAGTGTCCAAAGGAGAGGATAAACAATACATCCGTCTGTCTCGGGAGACGATGATTTGCAATTAACGGGACAGGATATGCTAGGGCTACATCTAGTTCCCCCCTCTCAGATGTCAAAGGATAAACCAATATCCGTCTGTCTCGAGAACGAGGGGCTGCCCGGACGTATAGTTCTAGGGCTGCCCGGACGTCTGGATTCCCCTGCCTTGCTAGCAGTGTCAAAGGAGGGGATAAACCAGTACATCCGTCTGTCTCCAGAGACGATGGAGTTGCGTGCGGTGCGCTATGAGCCCGGACAGGATATATGGAGAATTAGGCTGCCGGACGTTTAGGTTCCCCCTCTCGGCCTTGGCAATTGTCCAAAGGAGAGGATAAAACCAATACATCCGTCTGTCTCGAGAGTGAACGATGGAGTTGCGCGGTGCGCTACGGGCCTGGACGGGATATATGGAGAACTAGGGCTGCCCGGACGTCTAGTTCCCCCTCTCGGCCTTGCTAGCAGTGTCCAAAGGAGAGATAAACCAATACATCCGTCTGTCTCGAGAGACGATGGAGTTGCGCGGTGCGCTACGAGCCTGGACAGGATATATGGAGAACTAGGGCTGCCCGGACGTGTCCAAGGAGGATAAAACCAATTCCCCCTCTCGGCCTTATATGCTAGCAGTGTCCAAAGGAGAGGATAAACCAATACATCCGTCTGTCTCGGGAGAAGATGGAGTTGCGCGGTGCGCTACGGGCCTGGACGGGATATATGGAGAACTAGGGCTGCCCGGACGTCTAGTTTCCCCCTCTCGGCCTTGCTAGCAGTGTCCAAAGGAGAGGATAAACCAATACATCCGTCTGTCTCGAGAGACGATGGAGTTGCGCGGTGCGCTACGGGCCTGGACGGGATATATGGAGAACTAGGGCTGCCCGGACGTCTAGTTCCCCTCTCGGCCTTGCTAGCAATGTCCAAAGGAGAGGATAAACCAATACATCCGTCTGTCTCGAGACGATGGAGTTGCGCGGTGCGCTACGGGCCTGGACGGGATATATGGAGAACTAGGGCTGCCCGGACGTCTAGTTCCCCTCTCGGCCTTGCTAGCAGTGTCCAAAGGAGGGATAAACCAATACATCCGTCTGTCTCGAGAGACGATGGAGTTGCGCGGTGCGCTACGAGCCTGGACGGGATATATGGAGAACTAGGGCTGCCCGGACGTCTAGTTCCCCTCTCGGCCTTGCTAGCAGTGTCCAAAGGAGAGGATAAACCAATACATCCGTCTGTCTCGAGAGACGATGGAGTTGCGCGGTGCGCTACGGGCCTGGACGGGATATATGGAGAACTAGGGCTGCCCGGACGTCTAGTTCCCCCTCTCGGCCTTGCTAGCAGTGTCCAAAGGAGAGGATAAACCAATACATCCGTCTGTCTCGAGAGACGATGGAGTTGCGCAGTGCGCTACGAGCCTGGACAGGATATATGGAGAACTAGGGCTGCCCGGACGTTTAGTTCCCCTCTCGGCCTTGCTAGCAGTGTCCAAGGAGAGGATAAACCAATACATCCGTCTGTCTCGAGAGATGATGGAGTTGCGCGCTACGAGCCTGGACGGATATATGGAGGAACTAGGGCTACGTGCCCCTCTCGGCCTTGCTACGTCCAAAGGAGAGGATAAAACCAATACATCCGTCTGTCTCAGGTGAAGATGGGCCCTGGACGGGCGGTAGTTGCTAGGGCTGCCCGGACGTCTAGTTCCCCCTCTCGGCCTTTAAGACTCGAGAGACGGATGGAGTTGCGCGGTGCGCTACGAGCCTGGACGGGATATATGGAGCTAGGGCTGCCCGGACGTCTAGTTCCCCTCTCGGCCTTGCTAGGAGTGTCCAAAGGAGAGGATAAACCAATACATCCGTCTGTCTCGGGTGAAGATGGAGTTGCGCGGTGCGCTACGGGCCTGGACGGGATATATGGAGAACTAGGGCTGCCCGGACGTCTAGTTCCCCCTCTCGGCATTGCTAGCAGTGTCCAAAGGAGAGGATAAACCAATACATCCGTCTGTCTCGAGAGACGATGGAGTTGCGCGGTGCGCTACGAGCCTGGACGGGATATATGGAGAACTAGGGCTGCCCGGACGTCTGGTTCCCCTCTCGGCCTTGCTAGCAGTGTCAAAGGAGAGGATAAACCAATACATCCGTCTGTCTCGAGAGACGATGGAGTTGCGCGGTGCGCTACGGGCCTGGACGGGATATATGGAGAACTAGGGCTGCCCGGACGTCTAGTTCCCCTCTCGGCCTTGCTAGCAGTGTCCAAAGGAGGATAAACCAATACATCCGTCTGTCTCGAGAGACGATGGAGTTGCGCAGTGCGCTACGAGCCTGGACGGGATATATGGAGAACTAGGGCTGCCCGGACGTCTAGTTCCCCCTCTCGGCCTTGCTAGCAGTGTCCAAAGGAGGGATAAACCAATACATCCGTCTGTCTCGGATAAACCAATATGGACATCCGGACGTCTGTTCTCGGAGAAGATGGATAAACCAATACATCCGTCTGTCTCGGTGAAGATGGAGGCCTGGACGGGATATATGGAGAACTAGGGCTGCCCGGACGTCTAGTTCCCCCTCTCGGCCTTGCTAGCAGTGTCCAAAGGAGAGGATAAACCAATACATCCGTCTGTCTCGAGAGACGATGGAGTTGCGCGGTGGACGGGATATATGGAGAACTAGGGCTGCCCGGACGTCTAGTTCCTCGGACGTGTTCAAAGGAGAGGATAAACCAATACATCCGTCTGTCTCGAGACGATGGAGTTGCAGAAGCCTGGAGAGACGGGATATATGGAGCTGGGCCCGGACGTCTGGTTCCCCCTCTCGGCCTTGCTAGCAGTGTCCAAAGGAGAGGATAAACCAATACATCCGTCTGTCTCGAGACGAAGATGGAGTTGCGCGGTGCGCTACGCGCCTGGACGGGATATATGGAGAACTGGGGCTGCCCGGACGTCTAGTTCCCCTCTCGGCCTTGCTAGCAGTGTCCAAAGGAGAGGATAAACCAATACATCCGTCTGTCTCGAGAGAAGATGGATGGAGTTGCCTGCGGGATGGAGAACTAGGGCGCCCGGCCCCCTGGACAGGATATCCAAAGGAGAGGATAAACTACATCCGTCTGCCCGGACGTCTAGTTCCCCCTCTCGGCCTTATATGGAGAACTAGGGCTGCCCGACGTGTCCAAAGGAGAGGATAAACCAATACATCCGTCTGTCTCGAGACGATGGAGTTGCGCAGTGCGCTACGAGCCTGGACGGGATATATGGAGAACTAGGGCTGCCCGGACGTCTAGTTCCCCCTCTCGGCCTTTGCTAGCAGTGTCCAAAGGAGAGGATAAACCAATACATCCGTCTGTCTCGAGAGACGATGGAGTTGCGCGGTGCGCTACGGGCCTGGACGGGATATATGGAGAACTAGGGTGCTGCCCGGACGTCCAGTTTCCCCCTCGGCCTTGCTAGCAGTGTCCAAAGGAGAGGATAAACCAATACATCCGTCTGTCTCGAGAGACGATGGAGTTGCGCGGTGCGCTACGGGCCTGGACGGGATATATGGAGAACTAGGGCTGCCCGGACGTCGTTCCCCTCTCGCCTTGCTAGCAGTGTCCAAAGGAGAGGATAAACCAATACATCCGTCTGTCTCGAGAGACGATGGAGTTGCGCGTGCGCTACGGGCCTGGACGGGATATATGGAGAACTAGGGCTGCCCGGACGTCTAGTTCCCCTCTCGGCCTTGCTAGCAGTGTCCAAAGGAGAGGATAAACCAATACATCCGTCTGTCTCGGTGAAGATGGAGTTGCGCGCGGTGCGCTACGGGCCTGGACGGATATATGGAGAACTAGGGCTGCCCGGACGTCTAGTTCCCCTCTCGGCCTTGCTAGCAGTGTCCAAAGGAGAGGATAAACCAATACATCCGTCTGTCTCGAGAGACGATGGAGTTGCGCGGTGCGCTACGAGCCTGGACGGGATATATGGAGAACTAGGGCTGCCCGGACGTCTAGTTCCCCCTCTCGGCCTTGCTAGCAGTGTCCAAAGGAGAGGATAAACCAATACATCCGTCTGTCTCGAGAGACGATGGAGTTGCGCGGTGCGCTACGAGCCTGGACGGGATATATGGAGAACTAGGGCTGCCCGGACGTCTAGTTCCCCCTCTCGGCCTTGCTAGCAGTGTCCAAAGGAGAGGATAAACCAATACATCCGTCTGTCTCGAGAGACGATGGAGTTGCGCGGTGCGCTACGAGCCTGGACGGGATATATGGAGAACTAGGGCTGCCCGGACGTCTGGTTCCCCATCTCGGCCTTGCTAGCAGTGTCAAAGGAGAGGATAAACCAATACATCCGTCTGTCTCGAGGTGATGGAGTTGCGCGGTGCGCTACGGCCCGGACGGGATATATTGAGAACTAGGGCTGCCCGGACGTCTGGTTCCCCTCTCGGCCTTGCTAGCAGTGTCCAAAGGAGAGGATAAACCAATACATCCGTCTGTCTCGGAGACGATGGAGTTGCGTGGTGCGCTACGGGCCTGGACGGGATATATGGAGAACTAGGGCTGCCCGGACGTCTAGTTCCCCCTCTCGGCCTTTGCTAGCAGTGTCCAAAGGAGAGGATAAACCAATACATCCGTCTGTCTCGGAGATGATGGAGTTGCGCGGTGCGCCATGGGCCTGGACGGAATATATGGAGAATCAGGGCTGCCCGGACGTCTAGCGTCTCTCTCGGCATTGGCGGCAGTGTTCAAAGCCAGAGAGGATAACTAATACATCCGTTCGTCTCGAGACGATGGAGTTGCGCGGTGCGCTACGGGCCCGGACGGGTTATATGAGAACTAGAGCTGCCCGGACGTCTAGTTCCCTCTCGGCATTGCTAGCAGTGTCTGAAAGGAGAGGATAAACCAATACATCCGTCTGTCTCGGGGGAAGATGGAGTTGCGCGGTGCGCTACGAGGCTGGACGGGATATGTGGAACTAGAAAGGCGGCCCGGACGTCTGGTTCCCCTCTCAGCCTTGCTAGCAGTGTCAAGAGGATAAACCAATACATCCGTCTGTCTCGAGACGATGGGTTGTGCAGTGCCTGGACAGGTTATGGAGAGGCCTGGACGGGATATAAACCAATACATCCGTCTGTCTCAGGTGAAGATGGAGGGCTGCTCGGACGGGATATGGAGAACTAGAGCTGTTCCCCTCTCAGCCTTGCTAGCAGTGTCCAAAGGGGATAAACCAATACATCCGTCTGTCTCGAGACGATGGAGTTGCGCAGTGCGCTACGAGCCTGGACAGGATATATGGAGAACTAGGGCTGCCCGGACGTCTGTGGTTCCCCTCTCGGCCTTGCTAGCAGTGAAAGGAGAGGGATAAACCAATACATCCGTCTGTCTCGAGACGATGGGTTGCGCAGTGCGCTACAGGCCTGGACAGGATATATATGGAGACTAGGGCTGCCCGGACGTCTAGTTCCCCCTCGGCCTTGCTAGCGTGTCAAAGGAGGGATAAACCACTACATCCGTCTGTCTCCGAGAGACGATGGGTTGCTGTCTACGAGCCTGGACAGGATATGGAGTTGGGCTGCCCGGACGTTTACCCTCTCGGCCTACAGTGTCCCTGGACTGTCTCAGGGGATGGATTGCGCGGTGCGACGGGCTGGACAGGATAGGGCTAGCCGGACGTCAGTTCCCCCTCTCGGCCTTACTGCAATGTCAAAGGAGGGATAAATAATACATCCGTCTGTCTCAGGTGAAGATGGAGTTGCGCGGTGCGCTACAGGCCCTGGACGGGATATATGGAGAACTAGGGCTGCCCGGACGTCTAGTTACCCCTCTCTCGCCTTGCTAGCAATGTCCAAAGAGGATAAACCAATACATCCGTCTGTCTCGAGAAGATGGGTTGCGCGGTGCGCTACGAGCCTGGACGGGATATATGGAGAACTAGGGCTGCCCTGTTCCCCCTCTCGGCCTTACTCTGTGCAAGGAGTTAAACCCCCCGTCTGTTTCGGCCTTGGAGTTGCGCAGTGCGCCAAGGCCTGGACAGGATATATGGAGATAGAGCTGCCCGGACTGGTTCCCCTCTCGGCTTTGGAGTGTCAAGGAGGAGGATAAACCAATACATCCGCTGTCGAGAGACGATGGGTTGCGCTAGACCTGGACGGGGATATGGAGAACTGGGCTGCCCAGACATCCCCAGTTCCCCTCTCGGCCTTGCTAGCAAAGTGTTAATACCATCCGTGTCTCGAATGGAGTTGCATCCGTCTGGACTATATGGAGGAACTATGGGACGTTGCCCCATCTCGCCCGGTGTCCGAGGAAGGGGACGGTCTGTCCTGGACGGGTGCGCTATACATCTGCGTCTGTTCCCCCCTCGGCATTGCTAGCGGTGTCCCAAGGAGGATAAACCAATACATCCGTCTGTCTCGGGTGAAGATGGGTTGCGCGGTGCGCTACGGGCCTGGACAGGATATATGGAGACTAGGGCTGCCCGGACGTCTAGTTCCCCTCTCGGCATTGCTAGGATTGTCCAAAGGAGGATAAACCAATACATCCGTCTGTCTCGGGAAGATGGAGTTGCGCGGTGCGCTACGGGCCTGGACGGGATATATGGAGACGGGGCTGCCCGGACGTCTAGTTCCCCCCTCGGCCTTGACAAAGGAGGATAAACAGCACATCCGTCTGTCTCGAGATGATGGAGTTGCTGCGCTACGAGCCTGGACGGGATATGTTGAGAGCTAGGGCTGCCCGGACGTCTAGTTCCCCTCTCGGCCTTGCTAGCAGTGTCAAGGAGGGATAAACCAATACATCCGTCTGTCTCGAGAGAGACGATGGAGTTGCGCGCGGTGCGCTACCCGCCTGGACAGGATATATGGAGAACTAGGGCTGCCCGGACGTCTGGTTCCCCCTCTCGGCCTTGCTAGCAGTGTCCAAGGAAGGGATAAACCAATAAATGGGTTGCGCGGTGCCTGCAGGCCTGGATGGGATATATGGAGGCCTAGAGACTGCTTGGACGTCTAGTTTCCCCCTCTCGTCAAAGGAGGATAAACGATGTCTGTCTCAGGTGAAGATGGAGTTGCGTGGTGCGCTACCCAGCCTGGACAGGATATATGGAGAACTAGGGCTGCCCGGACGTCTAGTTCCCCCCTCTTGTAGCAATGTCCAAAGAGAGGATAAACCAATACATCCGTCTGTCTCAGGTGAAGATGGGTTGCGGTGCGCTACAGGCCTGGACAGGATATATGGAGAACTAGGGCTGCCCGGACGTCTAAACCCCCTACATCCGTCTGTCTCAGGTGTAAGATGGAGTTGCGCGGTGCGCTCTGTTGGACAGGGCCTTTGTACGCTGCCCGGACGTCTACGGGATCCTAGAGCTGCCCGGACGTCCTAAACTAGTTCCCCTCTCGGGCATTGCTAGCAGTGTCCAAGGAGGAGGATAAACCAATACATCCGTCTGTCTCCTTGGATGTCATGGAGTTGATAAACCAATAGTGCGTCTGTCTCGTGATGGGTGGACGCGGATATATGGACGGGAGAACTAGGGCTGCCCGGACGTCTAGTTCCCCCTCTCAGCCTTGCTAGCAGTGTCCCAAGGAGGGATAAGCCAATACATCCGTCTGTCTCGGGATGGGGTTGCGCGGTGCGCTACAGGCCTGGACGGGATATGGAGGGCAGGCTGCCCGGACGTCTAGTTCCCCCTCTCGGCCCTGCTAGCAGTGTCAAGGAGAGGATAAACCAATACATCGTCTGTCTCGAGAGACGATGGAGTTGCGCGGTGCGCTACGAGCCTGGACGGGATATATGGAGAACTAGGCTGCGGACGTCTAGTTCCCCTCTCGGCATTGCTAGCAGTGTCCAAGGAGGATAAACCAATACATCCGTCTGTCTCGGTGAAGATGGAGTTGCGCAGTGCGCTACGGGACGCTGGACGGGATATATGGAGAACTAGGGCTGCCCGGACGTCCCTAGTTCCCCCTCTCGGCCTTTGTCAAAGGAGCAATGTCCAAAGGAGAGGATAAACCAATACATCCATCTGTCTCAGGAGAAGATGGAGTTGACGTCTAGTTCCCCTCTCGGCATTGCTACGTGTCCTGGACAGGATATGGAGAACTAGGGCTGTCTCGAGGACGTCTACGGGCTGGACCCAGGTTCCCCCTCTCGGCCGTCTAGTTCCCCTCTCGGCAATGTCCAAGGGAGGATAAACCAATACATCCGTCTGTCTCGAGAGACGATGGGTTGCGCGGTGCCCTTTACGAGCCTGGACAGGATATGGAGAACTAAGGCTGCCCGGACGTCTGGTTCCCCTCTCGGCCTTGCTAGCAGTGTCCAAAGTCTGTCTCGAGACGATAAACCTGGACGGGATATATGGAGGGCATCCGTCTGTCTCGAGAGAAGATGGAGTTGCGCCAGGTGCGCTACAGGCCTGGACAGGATATATGGAGAACTAGGGTGCCCGGACGTCTAGTTTCCCCCTCTCGGCCTTCCCCCAATACATCCGTCTGTCCTGGGTTGCGTGGTGCGCTACGGGCCTGGACGGGATATATGGAGCACTAGGGCTGCCCGGACGTCTAGTTCCCCCTCTCGACCTTGCTAGGTGAAAGGAGGATAAACCAATACATCCGTCTGTCTCGAGGTGACGATGGAGTTGCGCAGTGCGCTACGGCCTGGACAGGATATATGGAGAACTAGGGGCTGCGGACGTCTAGTTCCCCCCTCTCGGCCCTTGCTAGCAGTGTCAAAAGAGAGGATAAACCAATACATCCGTCTGTCTCGAGACGATGGAGTTGCGCAGTGCGCTACGGGCCTGGACGGGATATATGGAGAACTAGGGCTGCCCGGACGTCTAGTTCCCCCTCTCGGCCTTAGCAGTGTCCAAGGAGGATAAACCAATACATCCGTCTGTCTCGAGACGATGGAGTTGCGCGGTGCGCTACGGGCCTGGACGGGTTATGGAGAACTAGGGCTGCCGTCTGTTCCCCTCATTGCTAGCAGTGTCAAAAGAGAGGATGCGGTCCGTCTGTCTCGAGTGAAGATGGGTTGCGCAGTGCGCTGGGCCTGGACGGATATATGGAGAACTGGGCTGCCAGGACGTCGTTCCCCCTCTCGGCCTTACTAGCAGTGTCCAAAGGAGGGATAAACCCAATACATCCGTCTGTCTCCAGGGAGACAGATGGAGTTGCGCAGTGCGCTACGGATATATGCCTGGACAGGGATATATGGAGAAGATGGAGTAGGGCTGCCCTGGACGTCTGGAGTTCCCCCCTCCCCCTCCTTGCCAGGTGTCCAAAGGAGAGGATGTACCCGTCTGTCTCGGGGTGATACATCCGTCTGTCTCTCAGCCTTTAGCAATGTCACGAATACGAGTTGTCTCGGGTAGAGTGAGTTGCGCGCTGCCTGGACGGGATATATGGAGAACTAGGGCTGCGGACGTCTAGTTTCCCTCTCGGCATTGCTAGCAGTGTTCAAAGACAGGATAAACCAATACATCCGGTCTCGAGACGATGGGTTGCCCGCTACGACCTCTACAGGATATATGGAACTGGGCTGCCCGGACGTCTAGTTCCCCTCTCAGTGTCCAAGGAAGAGGATAAACCAATACATCCGTCTGTCTCGAGGTGAATGGAGTTGCGCGGTGCGCTACGGGCCTGGACAGGATCTAGTTCCCCTCTCGGCATATGGAGAACTAGTCTGTCTGCTGCCCGGACGTCTAGTTCCCCCTCTCGGCATTGCTAGCAGTGTCCAAGGAGAGGATAAACCAAGCCATCCGTCTGTCTCCGAGAGACGATGGAGTTGCGCAGTGCGCTACGGGCCTGGACAGGATATATGGAGAACTAGGGCTGCCCGGACGTCTAGTTCCCCCTCTCGGCCTTTGCTTGCAGTGTCAAGGAGGATATAAACCAATACATCCGTCTGTCTCGAGACGATGGAGTTGGGTTGCGCTACAGGCCTGGACAGGATATATGGAGAACTAGGGCTGCCCGGACGTTTGCCCCCTCTCGGCATTTGCACCAAGGGGGATAAGCAATACATCCGTCTGAAAGATGGAGTTGCGGTGCTGCTACGGGCCTGGACGTATATGGAGAACTGAGCTGCCCGGACGTCTAGTTCCCCTCTCCGGCATTGCTAGCAGTGTCAAAGGAGAGGATAAACCAATACATCCGTCTGTCTCGAGATGATGGGTTGCGCGGTGCGCTTTGTGCCTGGACGGGATATATGGAGAACTAGGGCTGCCCGGACGTCTAGTTCCCCCTCTCAGCCTTGCTAAGTGTCAAAGGAGGATAAACCAATACATCCGTCTGTCTCCCGAGACGACAATGGGTTGCGCGGTGCGCTACAGGCCTGGACGGGATATATGGAGAACTAGGGCTGCCCGGACGTCTAGTTCCCCCCTCTCAGCATTGCTAGCAGTGTCAAAGGAGAGGATAAACCAATGCATCCGTCTGTCTCGAGGAGACGATGGAGTTGCGCGGTGCGCTACAGGCCTGGACGGGATATATGGAACTAGGTCTGCCCGGACGTCTGGTTCCCCCTCTCGGCCTTGCTAGCAGTGTCCAAAGGAGAGGATAAGCCAATACATCCGTCTGTCTCCGAGGTGAAGATGGGTGCGCGGTGCGCTACGAGCCTGGACGGGATATGGAGAACTAGCGCTGCCCGGACGTCTGGTTCCCCTCTCGGCGCCTTCCTGGTCCAAAGGGGATAAACCAATACATCCGTCTGTCTCCGGTGATGAACTTGCGCGGTGCGCTACGGGCCTGGACGGGATATATGGAGAACTAGGCTGCCCTCGTCTAGTTCCCCTCTCGGCCTTACTAGCAGTGTCCAAAGGAGGATAAACCAATACATCGTCTGTCTCGAGAGACGATGGAGTTGCGCGGTGCGCTACGAGCCTGGACAGGATATATGGAGAACTAGGGCTGCCCGGACGTCTAGTTCCCCCTCGGCCTTGCTAGCAGTGTCCAAAGGAGAGGATAAACCAATACATCCGTCTGTCTCAGGTGACGATGGAGTTGCGCGGTGCGCTACAGGCCTGGACAGGATATATGGAGAACTAGGGCTGCCCCGGACGTCTAGTTCCCCTCTCGGCCTTTGCTAGCAGTGTCCAAAAGGAGAGGATAAACCAATACATCCGTCTGTCTCAGGTGAAGATGGAGTTGCGCGGTGCGCTACGGGCCTGGACAGGATATATGGAGAACTAGAGCTGCCCGGACGTCTGGTTCCCCTCTCGGCCTTGCTAGCAGTGTTCAAAGGAGAGGATAAACCAATACATCCGTCTGTCTCGAGACGATGGAGTTGCGCAGTGCGCTACGGAGCCTGGACAGGATATATGGAGAACTAGGGCTGCCCGGACGTCTAGTTCCCCTCTCGGCCTTGCTAGGAGTGTCCAAAGGAGGATAAACCAATACATCCGTCTGTCTCGAGAGACAATGGGTTGCGCGGTGCGCTACGGCCTGGACAGGATATATGGAGAACTAGGGCTGCCCGGACGTCTAGTTCCCCCTCTCGGCCTTGCTAGCAGTGTCCAAAAGAGGATAAACCAATACATCCGTCTGTCTCGAGACGATGGAGTTGCGCGGTGCGCTACGAGCCTGGACAGGATATATGGAGAACTAGGGCTGCCCGGACGTCTAGTTCCCCCCTCTCATTGCCTTGCTAGTGTCAAAGGAGAGGATAAACCAATACATCCGTCTGTCTCGAGAGACGTTGGGTTGCGCGGTGCGCTACGGGCCTGGACGGGATATATGGAGGAACTAGGGCTGCCCCCTGACGTCTAGTTCCCCTCTCGGCCTTGCTAGCAGTGTCCAAGGAGAGGATAAACCAATACATCCGTCTGTCTCCGGAGACGATGGAGTTGCGCGGTGCGCTACGGGCCTGGACAGGATATATGGAGAACTAGGGCTGCCCGGACGTCTAGTTCCCCTCTCGGCATTGCTAGCAGTGTCAAAGGAGAGGATAAACCAATACATCCGTCTGTCTCGAGTGAACGATGGAGTTGCGCGGTGCGCTACGAGCCTGGACGGGATATATGAGAACTAGGGCTGCCCGGACGTCTAGTTCCCCCTCTCGGCCTTGCTAGCAGTGTCAAAGGAGAGGATAAACCAATACATCCGTCTGTCTCGGTGAAGATGGAGTTGCGCGGTGCGCTACGGGCCTGGACGGGATATATGGAGAACTAGAGCTGCCCGGACGTCTAGTTCCCCCTCTCGGCATTGCTAGCAGTGTTCAAAGGAGAGGATAAACCAATACATCCGTCTGTCTCGGAGAGACGATGGAGTTGTGCGGTGCGCTACGAGCCTGGACGGGATATATGGAGAACTAGGGCTGCCCGGACGTCTAGTTCCCCCTCTCGGCCTTGCTAGGAGTGTCCAAAGGAGAGGATAAACCAATACATCCGTCTGTCTCGAGAGACAATGGAGTTGCGCGGTGCGCTACGGGCCTGGACGGGATATATGGAGAACTAGGGCTGCCCGGACGTCTAGTTCCCCCTATCGGCCTTGCTAGCAGTGTCCAAAGGAAGGATAAACCAATACATCCGTCTGTCTCGAGACGATGGAGTTGCGCGGTGCGCTACGAGCCTGGACGGGATATATGGAGAACTAGGGCTGCCCGGACGTCTAGTTCCCCTCTCGGCCTTGCTAGCAGTGTCCAAAGGAGAGGATAAACCAATACATCCGTCTGTCTCGAGACGATGGAGTTGCGGGTGCGCTACGGGCCTGGACGGAGAACTAGGCTGCCCGGACGTCTAGTTCCCCTCTCGGCCTTTGCTAGCAGTGTCTCTACAGGAGAATAAACCAATATCCGGAGTCTCGAGAGACGATGGGCTGCCGAGCCTGACGGGATATATGGAGAACCCTGCCCGGACGTTAGTTCCCAGTGGCCTTGCTAGCAGTGTCCAAAGGAGAGATAAACCAATACATCCGTCTGTCTCGGTGAAGATGGAGTTGCGCGGTGCGCTACGGGCCTGGACGGGATATATGGAGAACTAGGGCTGCCCGGACGTCTAGTTCCCCTCTCGGCCTTGCTAGCAGTGTCCAAAGGAGAGGATAAACCAATACATCCGTCTGTCTCGAGTGAAGATGGAGTTGCGCGGTGCGCTACGGGCCTGGACGGGATATATGGAGAACTAGGGGCTGCCCGGACGTCTAGTTCCCCTCTCGGCCTTGCTAGCAGTGTTCAAAGGAGAGGATAAACCAATACATCCGTCTGTCTCGGGTGAAGATGGTGTTGCGCGGTGCGCTACGGGCCTGGACGGGATATATGGAGAACTAGGGCTGCCCGGACGTCTAGTTCCCCTCTCGGCCTTGCTAGCAAACCAATACATCCGTGTCCAAAGGAGAGGATAAACCAACGTCTACATCCGTCTGTCTCGAGAGACGATGGTTGTCTCGAGAGACGATGGGTGCGCTACGAGCCTGACGGGATATATGGAGAACTAGGGCTGCCCGGACGTCTAGTTCCCCTCTCAGCCTTGCTAGCAGTGTCCAAAGGAGAGGATAAACCAATACATCCGTCTGTCTCGGAGAAGATGGAGTTGCGCGGTGCGCTACGGGCCTGGACGGGATATATGGAGAACTAGGGCTGCCCGGACGTCTAGTTCCCCATCTCGGCCTTGCTAGCAATGTCCAAAAGAGAGGATAAACCAATACATCCGTCTGTCTCGAGAGACGATGGAGTTGCGCGGTGCGCTACGAGCCTGGACGGGATATATGGAGAACTAGGGCTGCCCGGACGTCTCCTCTCGGCCTTTGCTAGCAGTGTCCAAAGGAGAGGATAAACCAATACATCCGTCTGTCTCGGTGACGATGGAGTTGCGCGGTGCGCTACGGGCCTGGACGGGATATATTGAGAACTAGGGCTGCCCGGACGTCTGGTTCCCCCTCTCGGCCTTGCTAGCAGTGTCCAAAGGAGAGGATAAACCAATACATCCGTCTGTCTCGAGAGACGATGGAGTTGCGCGGTGCGCTACGGGCCTGGACGGGATATATGGAGAACTAGGGCTGCCCGGACGTCTAGTTCCCCTCTCGGCCCTGCTAGCAGTGTCCAAAGGAGAGGATAAACCAATACATCCGTCTGTCTCGAGACGATGGAGTTGCGCGGTGCGCCTACGGCCTGGACGGGATATATGGAGAACTAGGGCTGCCCGGACGTCTAGTTCCCCCTCGGCCTTGCTAGCAATGTCCAAAGGAGAGGATAAACCAATACATCCGTCTGTCTCGAGAGAGATGGAGTTGCGCGGTGCGCTACGGGCCTGACGGGATATATGGAGAACTAGGGCTGCCCGGACGTCTAGTTCCCCCCTCTCGGCCTTGCTAGCAGTGTCCAAAGGAGAGGATAAACCAATACATCCGTCTGTCTCGAGAGACGATGGAGTTGCGCAGGTGCGCTACGAGCCTGGACGGGATATATGGAGAACTAGGGCTGCCCGGACGTCTAGTTCCCCCTCTCGGCCTTGCTAGCAGTGTCCAAAGGAGAGGATAAACAATACATCCGTCTGTCTCGAGACGAAGGAGTTGCGCGGTGCGCTACGGTCCTGGACGGGATATATGGAGAACTAGGCTGCCCGGACGTCTAGGCCTTGTTCCCCGTCTGTCTCGAGAGACGATGGAGTTGCGCAGTGCGCTACGAGCCTTGGATATATGGAGAACTAGGGCAGTGTCAAAGGAAGAGAGGATAAACCAATACATCCGTCTGTCTCGAGAGACGATGGAGTTGCGCGGTGCGCTACGGGCCTGGACGGGATATATGGAGAACTAGGGCTGCCCGGACGTCTAGTTCCCCCTCTCGGCCTTGCTAGCAGTGTCCAAGGAGAGGATAAACCAATACATCCGTCTGTCTCGGTGAAGATGGAGTTGCGCGGTGCGCAACGGCCTGGACAGGATATATGGAGAACTAGGGCTGCCCGGACGTCGTTCCCCTCTCGGCATTGCTAGCAGTGTCCAAAGGAGATAAACCAATACATCCGTCTGTCTCGAGAGAAGATGGAGTTGCGCGGTGCGCTACGGGCCTGGACGGGATATATGGAGAACTAGGGCTGCCCGGACGTCTGTCAGTTCCCCTCTCGGCATTGCTAGCAGTGTCCAAAGGAGAGGATAAACCAATACATCCGTCTGTCTCGGAGAAGATGGAGTTGCGCGGTGCGCAACGGTCCTGGACGGGATATATGGAGAACTAGGGCTGCCCGGACGTCTAGTTCCCCCCCTCGGCATTGCTAGCAGTGTCCAAAGGAGAGGATAAACCAATACATCCGTCTGTCTCGGGTGAAGATGGAGTTGCGCGGTGCGCTACGGGCCTGGACGGGATATATGGAGAACTAGGGCTGCCCGGACGTCTAGTTCCCCCTCTCGGCCTTGCTAGCAGTGTCCAAAGGAGAGGATAAACCAATACATCCGTCTGTCTCGGGTGAAGATGGAGTTGCGCGGTGCGCTACGGGCCTTTGACGGGATATATGGAGAACTAGAGCTGCCCGGACGTCTAGTTCCCCCTCTCGGCATTGCTAGCAGTGTCCAAAGGAGAGGATAAACCAATACATCCGTCTGTCTCGAGAGACGATGGAGTTGCGCGGTGCGCTACGGGCCTGACGGGATATATGGAGAACTAGGGGCTGCCCGGACGTCTAGTTCCCCTCTCGGCATTGCTAGCAGTGTCCAAAGGAGAGGATAAACCAATACATCCGTCTGTCTCGAGAGACGATGGAGTTGCGCGGTGCGCTACGGGGGTGCCTGGAGCTGCGGGATATATGGAGAAAACCAATACAGGGTCTGCCCGGACGTCTAGTTCCCCCTCTCGGCATTTGCTAGCAGTGTCCAAAGGAGAGATAAAAAACCAATACATCCGTCTGTCTCGAGAGACGATGGAGTTGCGCGGTGCGCTACGGGCCTGGACGGGTTATATGGAGAACTAGAGCTGCCCGGACGTCTAGTTCCCCCTCTCGGCATTGCTAGCAGTGTCCAAAGGAGAGGATAAACCAATACATCCGTCTGTCTCGGGTGAAGATGGAGTTGCGCGGTGCGCTACGGGCCTGACGGATATATGGAGAACTAGGGCTGCCCGGACGTCTAGTTTCCCCTCTCGGCATTGCTAGCAGTGTCCAAAGGAGAGGATAAACCAATACATCCGTCTGTCTCTCGAGAGACGATGGAGTTGCGCGGTGCGCTACGGCCTGGACGGGATATATGGAGAACTAGGGCTGCCCGGACGTCTAGTTCCCCCTCTCGGCATTGCTAGCAGTGTCCAAAGGAGAGGATAAACCAATACATCCGTCTGTCTCGAGAGAAGATGGAGTTGCGCGGTGCGGCCTACGGGATATATGGGGGACGTAGTTCCCCCTCTCGGCTTTTGCTAGCAGTGTCCAAAGGAGAGGATAAACCACATCCGTCTAGTCTGTCTCGAGAGATGCCCGGACGTCTGGAGGGATATATGGAGAACTAGGGCTGCCCGGACGTCTAGTTCCCCCTCTCGGCATTGCTAGCAGTGTTCAAAGGAGAGGATAAACCAATACATCCGTCTGTCTCGAGAGACGATGGAGTTGCGCGGTGCGCTACGGGCCTGGACGGGATATATGGAGAACTAGAGCTGCCCGGACGTCTAGTTCCCCCTCTCGGCCTTGCTAGCAGTGTCCAAAGGAGAGGATAAACCAATACATCCGTCTGTCTCGAGAGACGATGGAGTTGCGCGGTGCGCTACGGGCCTGGACGGGATATATGGAGAACTAGGGGCTGCCCGGACGTCTAGTTTCCCCTCTCGGCATTGCTAGCAGTGTCCAAAGGAGAGGATAAACCAATACATCCGTCTGTCTCGAGAGACGATGGAGTTGCGCGGTGCGCTACGGGCCTGGACGGGATATATGGAGAACTAGGGCTGCCCGGACGTCTAGTTTCCCCTCTCGGCATTGCTAGCAGTGTCCAAAGGAGAGGATAAACCAATACATCCGTCTGTCTCGAGAGACGATGGAGTTGCGCGGTGCGCTACGGGCCTGGACGGGATATAGAACTGGAGAACTAGGGCTGCCCGGACGTCTAGTTTCCCCGAGACGATGGAGTTGCTCTCGGCATTGCTAGCAGTGTCCAAAGGAGAGGATAAACCAATACATCCGTCTGTCTCGAGAGAAGATGGAGTTGCGCGGTGCGCCACGGGCCTGGACGGGATATATGGAGAACTAGGGCTGCCCGGACGTCTAGTTCCCCCTCTCGGCATTGCTAGCAGTGTCCAAAGGAGGAGATAAACCAATACATCCGTCTGTCTCGAGAGACGATGGAGTTGCGCGGTGCGCTACGAGCCTGGACGGGATATATGGAGAACTAGGGCTGCCCGGACGTCTAGTTCCCCCTCTCGCCTTGCTAGCAGTGTTCAAAGGAGAGGATAAACCAATACATCCGTCTGTCTCGAGAGACGATGGAGTAGCGCGGTGCGCTACGGGCCTGGACAGGATATATGGAGAACTAGAGCTGCCCGGACGTCTAGTTCCCCTCTCGGCCTTGCTAGCAGTGTCCAAAGGAGAGGATAAACCAATACATCCGTCTGTCTCGAGAGACGATGGAGTTGCGCGGTGCGCTACGGGCCTGGACGGGATATATGGAGAACTAGGGCTGCCCGGACGTCTAGTTTCCCCTCTCGGCATTGCTAGCAGTGTCCAAAGGAGAGGATAAACCAATACATCCGTCTGTCTCGAGAGACGATGGAGTTGCGCGGTGCGCTACGGGCCTGGACGGGATATATGGAGAACTAGGGCTGCCCGGACGTCTAGTTTCCCCTCTCGGCATTGCTAGCAGTGTCCAAAGGAGAGGATAAACCAATACATCCGTCTGTCTCGGGTGAAGATGGAGTTGCGCGGTGCGCTACGGGCCTGGACGGGATATATGGAGAACTAGGGCTGCCCGGACGTCTAGTTCCCCCTCTCGGCTTTGCTAGCAGTGTCCAAAGGAGAGGATAAACCAATACATCCGTCTGTCTCGAGAGACGATGGAGTTGCGCGGTGCGCTACGAGCCTGGAGGGGATATATGGAGAACTAGGGCTGCCCGGACGTCTAGTTCCCCCTCTCGGCCTTGCTAGCAGTGTTCAAAGGAGAGGATAAACCAATACATCCGTCTGTCTCGAGAGACGATGGAGTAGCGCGGTGCGCTACGGGCCTGGACGGGATATATGGAGAACTAGGGCTGCCCGGACGTCTAGTTCCCCACTCTTGGCCTTGCTAGCAGTGTCCAAAGGAGAGGATAAACCAATACATCCGTCTGTCTCGAGAGACGATGGAGTTGCGCGGTGCGCTACGAGCCTGGAGGGATATATGGAGAACTAGGTCTGCCCGGACGTCTAGTTCCCCTCTCGGCCTTGCTAGCAGTGTTCAAAGGAGAGGGATAAACCAATACATCCGTCTGTCTCGAGAGACGATGGAGTAGCGCGGTGCGCTACGGGCCTGGACGGGATATATGGAGAACTAGGGCTGCCCGGACGTCTAGTTCCCCACTCTTGGCCTTGCTAGCAGTGTCCAAAGGAGAGGATAAACCAATACATCCGTCTGTCTCGAGAGACGATGGAGTTGCGCGGTGCGCTACGAGCCTGGAGGGGATATATGGAGAACTAGGGCTGCCCGGACGTCTAGTTCCCCCTCTCGGCCTTGCTAGCAGTGTTCAAAGGAGAGGATAAACCAATACATCCGTCTGTCTCGAGAGACGATGGAGTAGCGCGGTGCGCTACGGGCCTGGACGGGATATATGGAGAACTAGGGCTGCCCGGACGTCTAGTTCCCCCTCTCGGCCTTGCTAGCAGTGTCCAAAGGAGAGGATAAACCAATACATCCGTCTGTCTCGGGTGAAGATGGAGTTGCGCGGTGCGCTACGGGCCTGGACGGGATATATGGAGAACTAGGGCTGCCCGGACGTCTAGTTCCCCCTCTCGGCCTTGCTAGCAGTGTTCAAAGGAGAGGATAAACCAATACATCCGTCTGTCTCGAGAGACGATGGAGTAGCGCGGTGCGCTACGGGCCTGGACGGGATATATGGAGAACTAGGGCTGCCCGGACGTCTAGTTCCCCACTCTTGGCCTTGCTAGCAGTGTCCAAAGGAGAGGATAAACCAATACAATTTGGTACCACCGCGGCTACAGGAGTGGCCGGAATGTAGCACAAAGTGCCGTCCATCCACCTTAGGGGCTCCAATCCGGGTTTGAATTCAGAGTTGTCCTTCTCCTAGACCAGTTGCATTCCAAGGGAACCCAGTCTCCCCTGCTATTTACCGATAGCTGGAGGGAGGAGAAGAGTATTCACACCTTTTCCAAGGGTGTTAGCACGTAAGTGAATGTAATGGATTCGACTGGAATTCAAACTCGGCTCTCTGATTCCTCAATCCAAGCCGCTATTTATTACTCCACTGTTTCTCCTCTCCTTAGCAGCAGTAATGACAATAAGATGAGGAAATATCGTTCTTATCGGAGGTCGCAACATTATACGCATTCACTTTACAGTCGACATAGATGGTCTAGCTGATAAAGAAAAGGTACTCGTCAGTCGCGTCGGGAGTATTTATGAAACAACATCCAGTAACGTCATGGGACATAATGCGATAAAAAAAACCCCCAAAAAAAACAAAAACAAAAAAAAACAACAAAAAAGACAATAACAACAACAGCAATAACAACAAAAAAGCAAACAAAGGCATGACGAACTATAAAAATTGAATTTCTACCAAGATAAACATTGGTGTTCATGAACTTAAAGCAGTGACCCAAATCAAATATATAGGCTCGATTATCAATGAAGACGGCTCAAGAATAGAAACATTTATAGAAGCAGCAAACAAAAAAGTAGTTATCGAAAACTAAGAACCATCTCTAAAGACAAGAACATCGAGTTTAAATCAAAGACCAGACTTTTGCGTGCCAAATAACTTTCCTCGCCCAACATGTGGCTCTTATAATTCTAGAAATGTTTCGTGATTTACAACACGGAGTCTTTAGGCAAAGACAAGGAATAAACGGATGTTGTTCTATCTATTGGCAGCAGTTGTTAAACTTTGATTGTATTTCTTTCATCTTAAAACAGTTATTTTACATCAGAATAACTTTTCTCCATGCATAATCGTCTATAACAGATTTCAAAGTCTTTCCATAAAAGTAAACCTTAGGCATATTCTTTAGACATTAACATGATATATTAAATCTTCAAGGGAAAAACGTTTAATTAGCGCCACTCTTAAACAGAGCAGAGTATCAATTTATTCTTGTACAAATAATAAAACCTTCCTTAGAAGAAAATACTTGTGTCATAATCATTTGATACGGAAGAAATATAGATTTTCCATAAAGCATATTTGTTTCTTTACTTGCTATGAACGTTTGTCCAAATATCATTTAAAACGTACTTACTTATATTAAGTTACTTAGTTTACTACAGCACAAAACTACAAGAATAGGGGACAAGTTAGAACAGAACTGAGTAATGATTTACTAGGCAAATTTGCTAACAATTACAATAGTCTTTTCCTGTTATACGATCTGGTATGTACGAGGTGTTTTGGGAAAATTGTCGCCATTTTATATTTTTAATTTCGCGCATGCGCGTTGTTTGTTTTTTATTTTGTCGACTGCATAGTAGAGTCAGTTGGGCACCGTTACACAATTCGCTCCGTTAGACATTTGGAAACGGCATGCTGTACTGTTTGGCATTCGCGCCAGAAGCTCCAATACGTATATTTCAAAGTGTTTGGGTGTCCATCTGATTGCAGTGCAAATAATTCGGAAAGAGCTAGATGAGTCTAATGTTGATTCCGAAGGTCTTTAGAATGATCACTTGTGATGGCGACATTAGGTCTTCATTCCTCTTCACACAGGACCTCAAACTCAACACGTAGGTCTACATCAAGTGCCTTTAATAGATAGTGCTGCCCTGGATCAAGAGAGTGGTTGCTGGAAGACCCTATGTCTGGCAGCAGGACTCAGCACTATGCCACATAAGCAGGAGAACCAAATCATGGCTGTCAGACAATTTCTGTGACAACATCACCCCTTATATCTGGCCACCTAACTCCCCAGACTTCAAACCCCTTGATTATTATTTGTGGGGCGCAGATCAACAAAACTTTCTCTAACATCAAAGATGAACTGAAGGTAAGGATTATGGCAACATCCACCAATTTAAATAAGGAGACCGTCCAGAAGAGATGCGGGAGATTCCGAAGTCGTCTGGAGGTCGTATTTCAAGATATTTTTTTTTATGTAATTTTGGTAAATATATCCGTTAAAATGTGATGTCAGAGTTATTTTCATTTTAGCGTCGTTTAGACGACAATTTATCCATCGCACCCTATGCAGTAACTGAAATGTCCGCTCTCGAAAAAGGTGGCGATTACAGTGGGGCGGGGGAGGGAATGAATGCTGGAATTAAAAGTTTGTGAAAAGTGAGGGACATGCTTTCGAATAAATGATAAAGGGGTAAATTTCTTGAGAAACAACAGAAAAAATGAGTACAACACCTTCTTAATAAGACGGTAGGAAGCCTTTACTGTTCCTAAAATTATTGCGACATGACTACACAGTTATGGAGGTCTTGCTTCTGTACTCTGATGTAGTTTGATGTTCTCATAACATGTAGTTGCAGTCATAGTGGTTCCGAGGACTAGTTATAGGCGGTTGATATGCGTACTGGTTTCTCTTGGTGATAGTTGCGATTAACACCTAAATTCATTACCTAAATGAAAAGCTTAACAATGACTGACAAACGTAGTCGAAAACGAATTAAGATATATATATATATATATATATATATATATATATATATATATATATATATATATATATATTTTTCTGGCATTTTTACAGAGAGGAATTCACCTTTCCATAAGTGGATATAAAAACTTAGGCGCTTCTATCACGGTAAAACTCGAATCTTCTCTTTAGATAGGTCATGCTGATCGACTAACCAGTTAAAAGAGAAGAGTGGAAAGGGTGTTATTATCCGATGTGAACTCAATTTATTGTGGCTGTACTTTTTGAGTAATTGCTAATGTTGTCTCTTGATTGGTTGATTTTGTCATAATCGACTACCATTTTTGGGGGTTGATTTTTGTTCGTTTTCCAGTACCATTTTTCAGAAGTGTATCTCGTGACAATTTTGCTTGATTACTTTCTTTGTTACGTCACTAAATTTATGTACGATATTTACATGTTGTGAGTTGGGGACAAACGGAGAATGAAAGATATATTTTCACGCAGCCATCTCTGAAATTGTTGTTCTTGTAGGTTTTTTATCTAACTTTTTCGTCGTTTGTTCTGTGTTCACTAGAAAATGTCTCATCTCATAATTACGACGATGAAAAAGGAAAAAAAAAAAGGATTATTATTTAAAGAGCTTAAATTAACTATTACAATTGTTGAGAAATTTCAATCATTACTTGATGCTTTGAATTTGTGTCCACCGGAGTTTAAAAAAAAAAAAAAAAAAAAACAAAGTTAGAGAAGTGGGGTCCCTGGAGTGATTTTCAAATGATTATGAAAGAAATTGGCAGGAAGAAATCTGTAACAGGCGGAGTTTGGCCAAGATCAAAAGTAAAAAAAATCTCAATGAAGAAGATTAAGAATAAGCAGCAAACAGAATCTGAAGCGAAGAAAAGGAAAGAAATTTATTCTTATACATAATAAGCAATCTTATATGTTGGTTCTCGCTTTCGCCGACCACATCTTGGCTTGCACAGGCCAAGTTCCACACGGCGACCATCGTAGCAATTGGCTAATCCTTTCATGATCTGTCGTTCGAATTATCTGCCTTCTATCATGCTGACCATTAGTTCAAATGCGAGGTCGTCATTCTTGAACTGTGCGGCTTATCTTCTGACATGAGTCACGCAACCTTTAATCCGACTAAACGCTAATGTCACGAAGCTAATAAATCGGCCGTACAGATCAGGGTCACAAATAGACAGTCTGCCGGAAAATTCAATTTTATGTCAGTGGTTAAATGGAATAGTCGATCATCCGAAACAGTGTTGAATTACAAAATAATTCTTTTTTATTAAAAGATATGATTACAATTTCCCTTTTACTAAAGGCTGGATTTTTTTAGGCGGGATTTTTTTCGACTAGTCTTTAGTTAAACTAGTCGAAAAAAAATTCCGAGGTAGTTGTTGATTTTATTATGCTTTTAAAAACTTATATTGTAAATTATACAGGGTGTAATGGATAAATTGTCAACTAAATTACCCAAAAATTACAATAACACTGACGTCTCATTTTAACAGATATATTTACCAAAATTACACAATAATATCTTAAAATACGAAAGAGTGAATTTATTCAATAGAATCGCTACTGGTGTCAACCACAGTCTCCAGACGACTTCGGAATCTCCTGCATCTCTTCTGGACGGTCTCCTTGATTAAGTTGATGAATGCTGTCATAATCTTTGCCTTCAGGACATCTTTGTTGTCACAAGAAATTTTGTTGGTCTCCCGCTCAACTGAGTTCCGCGCATAATAATCAAGGGGGGGGTGAAGTCTGGGGAGTTAGGGGTCCAGATGTAAAGGGTGATGTGGTTTCAGAAATTTTCCGAAAATCATGAGTGGGTTCCCGTGCTTGTGTGGCATGGTGCAAAGTCCTGTTGCCAGACATAAAGTTTTCAGCAGCCACCCTCTTGACCCAGAGCAGCACTACCTCCTCAAGGCACTTGATGTAGGCCTCTCGTGTTTAGTCTGGAGCCCTGTGGGAAGATGAACGGAGGCATAACATTGCCAACACTGGTAATACGCCAGACACCTTCGTAATCACCACTAGACATTTCCAAATCTTTCTGAATCATCTGAGATTCCGGCGCGAATGCCAAACAGTACAGCATGCCGTTTCCAAATGTCTAACGGAGTGAATTGTGTAATGGTGCTCTTTTTCTCACAGACGGTGGCCAACTGACCCTACTATACGATGCAGTCGACAAAACCCAAAACAAACAACGCGCATGCGCGAAATTAAAATTATAAAATAATGACAATTTTACCTATCCCACACTGTATGTTCGCATAGTGTATCCAAATAGCCTAAAAAGAGAAAGAGAATGGTATATATATATACACACACACACACACACACACACACACACACACACACACACACACACACACATATATATATATATATATATATATATATATATATATATATTAAAAAGAAGAGAGATACCGCAAACGTTTTTGGTTGTAAGGTGGATTTTCCTTTTTTAAATATTATGCTTTATTTTCCATAATTTTACTACACGTGTTTCTGGTCTCGCGACCGTCATCAGGTAAAGGTTGAAGATTTCCACATATTATTAAAAATAATTCATTTTTCTCCTTTATGTTTTTTTGATATTGTCGATATTTATGTATTATTAATCCGAAAGTCTTTCTTGAACTGGCAGTGAAGAGTTCTGCGCGAAGGGTCATAAAATAATTAAGATTGGTCCGAGAGAAATGATGAATTAGTTATCGGTATCTTATCTTTTAATGTTTTACTGACCCCTGTGTGTCCTTAGATCTATTTCCATTTTCGTGTGTTTCTGTCAGCATGCGTGTATATATGCGTGTGTATATTCCCCCTCCATACATACACACTGTCTCACTACGAGGAATTAGTAAACACATTTGTACACGTGCACACATACCCACATACACACACACACACCGTCCTACTACAAGGAATCAGTACATACACACACATACATACACACACACATACGTACACACACATACTTCCCAAGTTACATGGAACCAGTATACACATACACACACATACACACATATATACGTATATACGTACATACATACACACGTACTTCCTCAATTGTGTGGGGTTTGTGTGCGAGCCCGTGAATAGTTCCTTGCTTTTGTCAACATGTGTGTATATATTTTTTCGTGCTCCACAAACACCCGCATGTGAGCGTACGTACATGTATGTGAGTGTTTTTTTATCCCTGTATTTGGCCATCATGTGTGCATGTTGTGTGTTTTTTGCGTGTGGGGTGATGATCTATTTAGTTCTGGTTTAAATTTGTTTATGAAGTTTTTCTTGTATTTGTAGGTAAGAATAATTGCCTGTTTGATATATTGGCATAATATTAAATTCACCCTGGTTACATTTGAAGATGTGTTGTGATACAAAAAGTTTTCTGTTGTCTGGTAATTTTATGTTGCTTTTGTGAAGAGAAACCCTGTTGTTCAGTTGTTGACTGATACCTATATATGCCTTCTTGCATTTTGTGCATTTAAGTACAAAAATCAGATTGAGTTGAAGTTTAAGTTTTTATTTATTATGAATGTCGTTTTGAGGTTTTCAAAAGTGTAGGAGTTTCCTTCTATAACGATGTCACAAACCCCATATCTTTTTTGTTGCATTTTGTGACTCCCTGTATTGTGTGTTGGTTAAATTTAGATGAGGTTAATATGTGTTTTAGGTTTTTAGATTGGCGTTTGCTTTTAATTTTTGGTTGTTTTTAGTACATTTATCAGTTTATTATTCTTGCTAAGTAGGTCTAGATTTTTTTGTAATTTCTGTGAATAGTTCTGGATTGTTTTTTGTTGTATGTTGAGACATATGCTAGAATTGGTTCGACGTTACGTTTCTTTTTATTTCTAAGTTGGTATAGAGGAATTTTCTTTGCGAGTTCAAAACCTTTGTTTATAGTGTTGTGGGGTAGCCTTTTTAGAGTTTCATGTAGTTCTTCTAAGCGGGTTTTCCGGATGTGTTTATCAGTCACTATAGTAGAAACCCTAGGTGCTAGAGCAGGGGTCGGCAACTCATTCGACCCCGCGGGCCGGATCGTGTTATTACGACGGGTCGCGGGCCGGACGAAGGCCATTAATGAAAAATTAAGGAAAATTACATATGCAGACCCCTGTCAACCTAAATATTTAAAACCATAATGAAAATAAACATTGAGAAATCAGAAAAACAAAAGAAAAGTCTAAAATTAAAAAACTCTTAACAAAAATTACTTTTCCTCAAGGAACGTCAAAATACTTCAAAGTGAAAAAAAGTCAACCGAAGTGAAATGGATGAAATTATGACGTGTAGGTCTGAAACGGTTATTGAAAATTGTTCCACAAACGAACCACACACACACGCATCAAACAAAAACGAAGCACACATACCCATACATAATAGTACAAATAGTTTCAAACATATACACTTACCTATGTACACATGTGGTATCATCCACACATTCATGAGGCATGTATGCATAATGCGCGTATGTTTAACTGTCTTTAGATTTCTGCTACCTCGCATGTCAGTCCCTCCCTGGCCTCTTTCACTTTATCGTTTCTTTTCGCTTCTGTTATCTTTTAATGTAGCCAAGGGTCATAAAAAATATGTATCTATTATTTGACATTAAACGTAGGCAACGCAACTTGGTAAAATAAGTCTCATGAAAGATAACTGGCAGAT